TAGTTAGCTTATTTAAGCTATTCCTTAAGCGTATTATTATTATTACTATTACTATTATCTTTTATTCTCTAATCCCTAAGTTCTTAAGTAAGGTTCTTCTTAATAGGGGCCTTCCTAGCACTAAAAGAAGATCTAGTACTAGGGGTCTTTCTAGAGAGTTATAAGGATATTATAATACTATTAGTAGTTTCTTAAAGGGTAACTTACTAAATAGGAGTAATTAAAGTATTATAGCTAGCTAACTAATAGTAGGTTTATATTAATAGTAAGTTAGGAATTAAAAACTATAAATAGTATTAAGTCGTTCTATAGGGCTATTTAAGTAATTATAGGTCTTTAAAGGTCTTAGTAATTAGTTAAGGCCTTAATAAGAGTTATAAAGTAGTTATTACTTAGGTATAGCTAAAAGTACTAGTAAGGGTAGTTATAAAGTTAATTACTAAAGAGCTATAGAAGTCTATCCTTAAGCTGGACTTAAGTCTATCCTATATATAAGTTCTAGATACTTCTCTTCCTATATAGACTGCAATCTAAGAGTTGGTCCTCCTTAAGGACCGCCCTTAGCACGTTAGTCCTAATCCTTATCCTGGTCCTAGGACCGCTTATTAAAAGTTGGTCCTACTTATTATCACGTGACTTATACTATAGTTCTTCCGTTCCGGGCGAGCCCCTCATGTTCCCATGATCCTACATACAAAGGTGACGTTCTAACCGCCCGGTATCCTTATGGGGCGTTCTTTATTGGTTATGCCTAACGGGTCGTAACATATAAGTTATATAGATAATAATAAATAAAAGCTAATTAGAGTTATAATAGGAGTCTTAAAGATTTATCCTTTTTATAATATTAATAACTTTAATATAAGATTAATAATAAAAATAATATTAATATATTATAGTAATAATATAGAGAAAAAAAGTCTAAAAAACCTATTTAGCTACTTAAAAGCTATAAATAGTACTTTTTTTTTAAAATTTCTTTTTATAAATTCTTAAAATAAATAGCTTATTTAGTAATTTATTAACTATCTTAAGGTTTAAGATAAATATAATAAAGTTTAAAAGTATATTATTACTCTATATAAACTAAATATATTATATTATAACTACTCCTCTTTAGAGATTATAATAATAATATTATCTCTAATAGAGATAAACGTTATTAAGAAGAGCTTAATATTATAGTATAAAGTATAATTTAACTATATACTATAAGGAGTTTATAATCTCTTATTAGATTAATAAGTAATAAGTTAATTAATATTAAGATATTAAAGATATTTATTAATAAAGTAGGACTATCTATAATACTTAAACTAAATTAAAAGGATTATTACCCTAAATAATAATATAAAGGGGATAGTAAAATAGGGGAGGTTAACTAGATAAATAGGAGATAGATATATTAGATTTAGAGAAAATATAGTTAAATTAATTAAGTTATTATACCCTTTATTCTCATTCTTCTAGTAAATAGTGATAGCAGTAGTTATAAAAGCAACTTCATAAAGACGGTAGTTAGCTAGCGGCCGCAAAGTTACGGCTTAGTCACCCGATTGGCGACAGCATTCGACCTCCGGTGGATCTCGGTCAGGGGTCCGGAACGACCTCCGGTGGGGCCGGTCACGATTTCTCGGGGAGTCGGTCACTATCGCCAACGATCGGGGGCTATCGTCGGTCTCGATCTGAACGACTTTTCAAAATAACGCCTGTTGGTTGGGAGCTACCCACTTTCATTTAATTAACTTGCTCATTGGAACTCTCTTTCCAAGTTTCTGAAGGCACTGGCAAGAGTTCCGGCGCTTGAGATGGATATTCTGCGGCCGTTGGGAAGCCTTGGTTGCTTGAAAGAGTCTAGACTCTCAGGTAAGTCGAAGACATGGGCCGTTTGACGAGTATCACCCGGTAGTAACCGCTAGATCTTTACCCGTTCAACAGGGCAAAAGAGAAGCAGAAGCGAGGAGGCCGTGTCTCGACCAGACGGGAACTGAAGATTCGGTTTGGCAACCAAGAGAGCTCGGGTTCCCTGAAATGGCCACACACATGAAGGTGCCTGGAGTGAAACTTCCTCGCTTTTCCTTCTCCCAGACCCTAGACCTGTGGGTTGCAAACTCAATTGAGCGACGAAACTAATTATTTCTGAAATGGCAGACCGGCGAACGAACGGTGCAGACGACAAAGGTGCAAGCATTATCATAACAATATGCGTTGTAATTGCCATCAGTACTATCTTCGTTCTTTGTCGGCTTTTTGTCCGGGTGAAGATTCTTGGGAAGGATCATCTGGATGACCACCTCGCAGTTCTATCACTGGTAAGATGCCCACGGCCTCGTATGACCTCTTTTGGAATATAGATCTGACTTGAATTGAACAGATACTGAGCTACATAACAGTAGGCCTTGAGATATGGGCCGTACAGAGCGGAAACGGTCGACACGCGGACACCTTATCGATAGAGCAGCAATCGGCCGCTGTTCTGTCAACGATATCCGGCTTCGCACCGAACGTCCTCGCATACACGGTCCCCAAGTTCGCTGTCATTGCACTTCTCGTTAGAATATTGAATCCGGGAAGATTTCATCGCATCGTACTTTGGTCACTCGCAACAATTTGCCTTGTGCTGGTTTTGCTCTGCATCATCATCCTCTTTGCGCAATGCTCACCGACATATGCCCAATGGGATTTTACAGTCACCGAAAAGAGCTGTTGGAGCCCTTGGGTTCTGATCAACGTTGCAATCCTCACCGGAAGTAAGAACGCACCTCGCCAGGGTCCTTCTGCTGTACTTCCAACCTAGAATGATTGTTAACGAGACTTTCACGCAGCATCTTCCGCAGCACTTGACTTGTACTTGGCGGTCTACCCTGCTACAGTCTTGATGAAACTGCAAATGAACATCAAGAAGAAGATCATACTCAGTATAGCACTAGGCATCGGAAGCATGTAGGTCTTGCTGGAGATCTCTTTTCCGCTGCCAGCTAACGTTTAAAGCTCTTGTTTCATATCGATCTACAAGAGCACACGCCTTCCATCTTTGGCAAGCAAAGACTTTACCTGTATGTTTACAATGTCACAAGGTACAATACACGGACTAATTGTGGTGGGAAAAGATGACAGTGCAGACCTGGTGGTGTGGACAGTGTAAGTTCTTGTCATCAAATGGCTGTACTACTGAATCTTGATCACGCTGACAAGTTCGAAGCATTGAAGGCAACGCGCTCATCATCGCATCGTGCATTCCTGTCCTCGGTCCTCTTGTCGAACTGGCTCTCGGCCGACGCGTGCTCAGCTCAACCGATAGAAAGTATAAGAAACAAAGCGATACAGGAGGCCTGCGTTCAGGAGCAATCGAGATGGATGGTTCTCGTTCTCTGACACCAGACGGAATGGGAATGTTGTAGGCAAGACTTCGACCGTCATCCATTCAAGGCACGACTTGGAAGACGCAAGCAGTCAGGAAAGTATCTTGGACGGGAACAGAACAAGACAAAGGCCACCAGGTATTATGAGGACAGATGCTGTAACAGTTTCGTAAGGAGTGGGCCAGGGGCGAGGCGACGCGCATATATATTGATATGTTGTATAAAAGTTGAAATTGTGATTATTCAAGAAGCATACATCATCTGACTACTTTTAGCACCCTTTCATCATTCGACACGAGACTATGTTGAAGATTTAAAGCCCTTCTCGAAGTACTCCATAACTTGTGGGGGCATCTCTCGGTATTGCTCAAGCTTTCCCTCGACAATCAAGTCACTGAGAGTCGCCTTCTTGTATCCCTCCATGGCCCAGACATCCTTCCCGATCATCCGGTACTGCTGGCCCGTACCCCAGATCTTGCGGCAATACCACGACAACGTGAAGAGACTTCCGTCACTGAGACCGTCCTCGATTTCTCGTTCGACCGTTTCAAGGCCGTGGGTGAAGGTCTCGGGCGAAGACCCATTCTTCTGCTCCAGCGCCGCCGCGACCTCCTCGCCAGTAGGCGTAAGCTCGGTCAAAGCAATGGCTCGGTTCTGTATCTCAGATACAGGTCTTTCGGTGAAGATTGACACGTATGCTGCCGCAACATAGTCTCTCGTACTGATCACAGTTTGGCGTCAGAATTTCTCCAGTGACATGTCAAGACAGTTTGATAGTTGCTTACCAAAGGTTTACTTCAGCGTGTCCACTGCCCGCGGTGTAGACGAGTCTGTTGCCCTTGACATCGACTCCCATGCCCCTAGGAAGATGAGACCGATGAGGAAGGCAAGTAGTAGACAGGGAGGAATCAAAACAACTTACATAGTGTTCAGAGCGAACTCCGCAAAGTTACCTATAAGAACGACTGTGGTAGGAATCCCGGCTGCCTTCGCCGCCTTCTCAAGATCGTCCTTTTCCTTGTTGACCTTGATGCGAAGGCCTTGCTCGTCATAGCGAGCTGCCAGGTCGGACGGCGAGAACAGCTTGACCTTAGTCTTTGGGATAGCCTTGACGAAGCCGTGTTGTCTTTGCACCCCCTCATGTCCAACCAGGGAACTATGATAATTAGCTCTCATCAGGTATACCTTAGTAGATTTAGGTAGTCTCACATCACTATATCGATGTCCTTCAGAGCCTGGACCAGCGCTGCTTCGTCATTGACGTCAACTTCGATCTTATCAGTCTTCTCGGGAAGTGTGGAGATGTCCGATCCGGGACGGTAAAGGACCCTGACAGGAGCCCCGGACGCTATCAGGGCAGCAACAATCCTAGAGCTGCCCCAGCCACGGTGGCCGTAAACGGCAATGCGATTCATCGTCATGGCGGTGCTTGAATAGAACGGTGTATTGGTCGAAGAAACGTCGAAGTTGAGTATCGTATTGTGGTCAAGGCGAGGAAAGGCTGAAGCCAAAGCCGCCGGGTTATATACCGACTTGTGGCTGAAACACTAATTAAGACATGCATCTCGCCGTTCGCTTACGCAGCAAAGCCTCGGACTTAAGATCGATACAGCGCATCATTGCGTCGCGTACAAATTTGCGAGCATCTTTTGGAGTATCACCACAGCTGTCGTGCAAACCCGGTACCCGAAAGTGGATCAGCTCGTTTTCGGTCCCCCGCTCACCTCTCCGAGGACCAGCGCCAACTGGGCCCGTTGATCGCCTCGGCCAGTACAAGCGTCAGGTATGATCGTTTACCGGGCATGGAGATGTGGGAACTTGGCTTGGTGGTAATGACAAACTGCGACGAATAGCTTATTAACTCATCAAGATGGGTCGAGTTTCTTCGTCATACACGGTAGCGCTTTGCTTCCGGGTGCATTTTGCGACGTAGTTTCCGAGGAGAAAGAGTTCTTGAATAGAGTGAAGCGCGACCAATGAGGTTCAACTTCGACCTTTAACGCGCATCGTCTTTGTTTTCGTCGTCTGGTGCCACCGCAATCTATGGCATCAAGCCCTGGAAAACAGTCCAAGCGGTCTGTTCGGGCCCCACTCGAATCGGCGGCGCGGGGCCGCGTGACCCGCTGTTGGTTCGGAGCATGCCGGCGTCGCCCGGACAGGTGAATACACATCCTCCTGCTGCCGTCATGGAGGAAACCTACGTCTGATTTTCTGTATGGAATATGCACTTTTGTTACCAGTCAGTCTGCCGGTATTATTGATATAGTGAAATGAATTATTGCTCACAGCGACCGCAGGAGATTGCCAGTCGACGCCACCGACGAAAAGGTCTCCTATGATCGCCCTCGGCGGGTCAACCGGTCCGTCGCGTTCAGGCGGTAATTGCTGTGAAGACGTTAGATCTACCTAAACCTTCTTTTCCAGCAGTAGTAGAGGCGAGTTAGCGATGTGCAGGCCGGAGGCACAGCAATCGTGCCTCGCAAGCTGAACAAAAGATCCTTCTGAAGCTGCTGAAAACGCCCAAAGAAGCTACCTTCATGCCGCGGCTAGGCGAGTCGATTCTTCCGCCGGCGCGGTTCTCCGACGCGTCTAAGCCGGCTTCCGTGTCGTCGAGCTTCAGCACAATGAGTACTTATATCAGTGTGTAAGACTTGTCGTTGCATGTGCATCGCCAACGGGAATTTCTATCAAAAGTCGATCGTCGAAATGGGTGTGCTTCATTGGGCACCTTTTCTGCTGTTCAGCGCTGCGGTAGTCCAGTCTGCACCTTCGCCATCTGTGGTCATCGATGCCGGCGCCATACTTGGAACGTCCACCTCTCTTCCTTCATCTGAAGTCGTCGTAAACAAGTTCTTGGGTATCCCGTACGCCCAACCGCCTGTTGGAGAAGATCGTTTTCTTCCTCCGAAGCCTATCACGACGCTCGCATCAGATCCGTTCAGTGCGGCCAGTTGGGGGAATAAGTGCGTCGCAACGAGCGGTGGTAAGTTCCCGAAGTAACATGCCGCTTTTCACATCCTCATAATCAGCTGCAGCTCCCGATGGACCTCCTGAAAGCGAAGATTGCCTTTTCCTGAACGTCTACGCGCCGGCCGGAGTGGGGTGCTCAAAACCGGGCCGGCCGGTCTTGGTGTGGATCCACGGCGGATGGTTGCGGGAGGGGACGGCGAGTCAGCCGATGTTCGACGGTACCGGCTTCGCCGCTGAGCAGGACATTGTGGTTGTCACTTTCAACTACCGCCTCAGTGGTAAGCGCTTCTGGTGGCATTGAACGTTTTTCAATCGTCTAACATCGCTGTCCAGTCTTCGGCTTTCCGAACTCTCCTCAATTGCCCCTCGAACAACGAAATCTCGGATTCCTCGACCAACGGCTCGCTCTCGAATGGGTACAGAACAATATCCACGTCTTCGGCGGAGACCCGTCGAAGGTCACTATTGCCGGAGAGTCCTCTGGCGGATCTTCCGTCGATCGCTTGGTGACCACCATTCACACGAACCCTCCGTTCCGCGCAGCAGCTTGCTCCAGCGGACAGGCGACCGTGAGCGCGATTGGGAGAGACTCTGGGCCACTTTCCTGGGCAGCACTAGTTTCCCTTGTTGGATGCAGTGGTTCCGATGAGATCGAATGCATTCGCAACGTTGACGCCAAAACCCTTCGGGATACGGCTGTCGCGAATGGTCTCGACTTCAGTCCCGTCAACGACAACTTGACGCAGATGGAGCTTCCTTACCTTCCATCTCGCGCTGCCGGTCTCGTAGCACATGTGCCGCTGCTCATCGGCTCCTTGGGACAGGAGGGTACTTACCTTGGTCCCATGTACGGCCTGAACACCTCCGCTGTCACCGAGGAGGAGATTGCGATGTTGATTACCGCTTTGACTGGTGGCGACTCGGAATTGGTCGCTGGTATCCTCCAGATTGTCCAGATCATCCAGCAGAGCACCGGCGTCTCGCTGTTCCGCGCTGCTACTCAAGTATACACCGAAGTAGTTTACCAATGTGTAAGTGTCGGCCAATTAGTCCTATCTGAACTTGCTGTCGCTAACCCTCAACCGGTAGCCCGCTCTCCTCGTCTCCAGAACCTCAGCCCAGACCGACATCCCAACCTGGCGCTACTTCTACAACGCCTCGTACCCGAATCTCGCCGCTTCCGGCTACACGTCTGACGAACTGGGCGCGTCCCACGGCACCGACACGGCCATGATCTGGGGGACGTATCCTAGAGATGGCGCCGTCGAAGGACAGGCCGAAATGAGTCGCTACTTGCAGAAGGCCTGGGGCAGCTTCGTCAAGGATCCTTCTGGTAAAGGTCCCAACTGGGAGAAGGTGGACTCTGAAGGGAACAACATTGCCTGCATCGGATGTGGCGGGGAGATTGGGCCCGTGATCGTTCCATCTGCGGCGCTTGACGGATTTTGCCCCGTGTACGAACCGTACTTTAGTCGTGTGAAGACGCCGTTTGTATGATCGGTATCAGGACCACATGTTTTTTTAGAAAACATCTCAATCAATCCACCTCTCTTTCAAAAACCACTCCGAGGTTCCAAGGACAGGACAAACGGAGGCACGTTCGTAGGCCTTGATAGAACGTAATGAATTTATCTGGCCAGCGTCAATCCGATACATAAACCCTTCCCTGGGAAGCCGAAGCTTTCTCTCACTCGAATGCCTCCCACATCTTGCTGACAACATGAGATCTCTCAACGCAGGTCATGTATTTCACCTAAGAGACATGCGTTTTGTTGGACTTCGCCACCTCTTCCCAGCACGTGAAATCCACAAAAGTCATATCTGTTCGTGATAAAATCCCAGCAAATGGGGGTTGAGTGGGTGCGACGCAGAGTGAGCAGGTCAATGCAGGCTGTTTGACGCGTCTTGTCGAGACTCGCGAAGGGTTTCCATGAGTTGGCGCTCATCCAGAATGCAATAGGTGACAACTCGAGTCTCGGGAAGTTGGGGGTACTGTCGCAGGGGTTTGATGACCAAAGTCACAGAGTTGAGAAAGGGAACTGCTGGAAAGTCTGACGAAGGAAAGCTCTCGTAGCGAGACAGAGATATATGATCCTGTCTCCTCAGGCTTTGAAGATGCAAGAGTATGCCCTTGACCAGTGCCCGCTGACGATCGGAGATGTCGTTAGATTTGGAAAGCCCGATCTCTCCGCGCGTTTCCGGGCTGGGGCTATCACATAGCTCCCACACCGTCTGATTGATGTAATCGATGAGTGACAGATGCTCCTTCGCGGGCTTAAAGTAATTCACAAACCAATTCTTTTCGCTGCAGTCGAAGATCCACTGGTGATACAAGAATAGACGGTGAATGGATGCAGCAATGTCGGGCCTGCTTTTGATCAACTTCAGGAAGGCGACCACTTGTGAAAGTTTGCCAGTGACACAGATTGTCCGGTACAGCAGGCGGCTCTCTGCGATTATTGCACGGTAAAGGTGGCTCGTTTTGGAAAGGTTGCTCAAGTCGTGCCACGAGGCCTGAATGTTATAGAAGCCTTCGTCCATCGAACAGTCTGGATGGAAAGTTGCTCGGACGGACTGCCGGGGATGGATGAAGTAACAGATGTGAAGAATGAGCTCAACAGGGAGCTTGCTGAGACTGGTCATCGTCGAGGCTGGAGCTTTCGGAGTTGTTGGGCGGAAATATGTGCCGATGAGAGAAGCTTCTGCTTCGTGACGTACAATGATAATTCGTTGAACGATGGCACTGGGGCATCTTTCGGTTATGAAGCAGACATGATTCATAAGACAAATGGACATAGACATGAATGGAAGCTTGCAGATGCGTCAGCAATCTACCTAAGCTGCACAAAGATATCAGGCCGTTATGTTACTCTGTTCCTGGAAGCCAAAGAAAGGTGTCTGCATTGTCTTTGCCTTAGTCGCTAAAGTATTATGCTAATGTCGAGACCCAAAAGCTTGCTTCTGACAAGAAACAGCCCAGGTTGAAAGACATCACGGGATGCATCTTCTCAGGTTCCTTAAAGTAAGGCCTCTTGGACATCTGAGTAGCTCGAGACAGCATTCACAGTAGAAGGAATGTATTGCTGCCTTTGGTCCTGGTTGAAAATCTCGCGCCTTCCATCAAAGCAAAACCAGTCCCGTTGTCACGTGCCTTCTTCCTCCACCTTCTGGTTTGTTCCTGCCTTCTGCCATCCAAGGCCAGGCACCTTCCTCGGATTCATTGAGAGTCACCCGGTCACCGTTGTTTTAAGACAGCCTGCCTCTTGGAAAATTCTGCCCTCTCCATCTTCGACCCTCAAGAAACAGCATGCCACATGAGCCGAACACTTGACCACGAAGTACGCAAAAGAGTGCATTCTCTTAGCTTGACTGATCCTAGCTAACCTATTGCCTTACCCAGAGCCAAGATGCCGAAGTTTTCCGACCTTCCCTCGGAGCTGGTGCTGGAAGTATGCGACTTCTTGCTTTCCGGAAGTCCCAAGACCCTTGAACGTGCGTTCGCCGGCGAGAGCAACGCATACCTCTGCGGTTACGACATCTGCAAGGCGATACGACAAGGTTGGAAGGACGTTCTCAACTTATCATGCAGCAGCCGCCGATACCGAGAGCTTCTTGTCGATCAGCACAATCACGTGTACCGCACCATCGCAGTCGGCGGCTACAACAACTTCAAGCAGCTTCTCTCTCTTCTCCGCTTTTTGGATAAGAAGCCCGAATTGGCTACAGGTGTCAAGACCTTGTATCTCACCCTGATTCCGGAATTCACCACTTCGTACATGGCGGAACTTCAAATCGACGACCTCAAACTCATCAGAACGCAGGCAGCAGCGGCCAACATCTCATACTCCAAGAACCTCTGGACGAAGCCCAAGCCATCAGAAAAGCGTATCTGCCGCCTCTCCGCAGACTACGATTACGATTACGGTGAAATGTGCGATTGCGAATACTGCATGGACATGTGGGACGATTGTGGAGATTTTGACGAGGAGGAACCCCATGCGTCATGCGATTACGAGCGTATGGGAATGCTAACCAGCCTGATTCTTCACAAGATGAAAGGCCTGGAGCAGTTTGGTTGCAGTATCTCCAAAGATTCCTTCAGCATGGTTGGCGACGGCAAGCAATGCTCACTGCCGATTCTCCCAGAGCTCCAATATCTCGCCATTGCAAAGGAGTTCACAGAGCACGAAATATCTCCGAACGACTTCAAGGTGTTGACAGGCCTTGGAAATACCATGACGCACCTCTGCTTGAGCGACATTGGGCCGGTGCAAGGTCACGTGAGCGAAAGCGGTTTGCGCATCCAAAAGTTCGAAAACATCGCTCACCTTGTATTGACCGGAATGGCATTCTGCAACGAAACGCTTTGCGAATTTCTCGACGACTTCTGCGGACCGCTGACGTCGTTCAAGTTTCTTCCTGAAATAACTGGCATGACGTACTGGGATTTCGCCTACGAGGTTACTGCGATGCCGCAGGAGGTTGTCGACGCTCTACTTCCAAAGCATGCAGATTCTCTCCGCACGCTCTGCATTGACTTCACCTGGTTCCACGACGATGATTTCTGGTTCGAACGGGAGGTAATCGACACCTTGGAAGGCTTTGTGAACTTGGAGAGTCTTTGGATTGATTGCGACTGCATTTCTGTGCCCTGGTTCGGAGATGATAGCGATAATGACAGCGAAATTGCGGATGCGGATGTCTTCGGCCGTCCGAAAAACGTCGTCATTGAAGACTTGCCGCGAAACCTTCGGCAAATCTATTTCGCGGGGGGTCTCGAGAACATCATGCCTGATTTGGCACGGCTGGCGGCGAACAGTAACGTGTTCCCTCGCCTCGAGTCTATCGAGTTGGACCGTAACGAGAAGGAGATCGTGGAAACTATGACCGCAAAGGGGTTCAAGCCTTCACTGGCAACTGTCAAGCGGGCTACTATGTGGGATACAGAATGAGGTTCAATGTCATAGGAATGAATGTGTAGTTTTCTCGGGTAAGGCGTCTTGATTCGGTCGTACGAGGAGGCCGTCCGAGGGGATTCTGTCCCATTATCAAACGAGGATTGCGATCGTCTACTAGAGACAATGGCGTTGACTAGCTAATAGCTAGATACGAAATGGCTTCATGAGGATCAATTGTTTCCTATTCTCAATATTCTTCGTTCAATGAAAGTTCGAGAAGACTCTGTCTAGCCGCCCAGCGTGCGAACTTTTGCTGCCACAAATGGAAGTTCATGTTGTTCAGGACATGTTTGATGCAGAGAGCCCAGACATTGGAATGCCTTACCATCAGAACCAAGGATCCTCTTCCAAACTGCAGTTTTGATAGATGGATTGAAGTCAGCTCGAGGTTCGATCATGCTGCTTGAAGCTAAGAAAGTGCTAGATTATTCTCGGAATAACCTTTGACGTAGAATTTATCGTGAGGTGAGAAACACAGTCCTTTTTCGTCGTACGTTGTTCCATTTGTGATCATACTGCACCAGGACAAAGGCTCTGCGCATTCAAACGCTTTCCTTCATGTGGAGGATTCTTCAGACTTTGAGAGAATCGTCTTTTAACATCTTTTTTTTGCTCATCCAATCATAAATGACGACGGGGTACCCATTTTGTGCTTCTTAGGTAGTCCTTCCTTTTTCTTTCCCTCCTGGCCCCTTCCCACTTCGTCGACTATATTTCGCCAGTACGCACCAAGTCCCTGCGCCGTCCTCAAAAGAAACAAATCCCACCTTCCATCTCATCTACTCATCTCCATCCCTCTCTTCCCACCCATCCCAAACCTAGTCAGCATGGCCAAGTTCTCCGACCTTCCCATCGACATCCTGATGGAGATCTGCGACTTCCTTCTCCATCGCGGCACCACCATCGAAGAGGTCTTCGCCAAAGCGCACGTGGCATTCTGCATCGAACCAACTCTGCTCGAAGATATCATCGCTTTAACTCTTCAACAGGGCCACAGCAGCGTCGTGGCCCTCTCTCAAGTCAGCCCCTCCTACGAGCCTCTTCTCCAGTGTCTCGATCGCACCTTGTCTCTCCATGGCAAGACTTTTCTCAGTGACGCAGTCCGCTTCCTCAAGCTCATCGATTCCAAGCCAGAGATCGCACAGCGTGTCAAAATCGTCTACCTGAACCTAGAGGAGAAGGACTGTGCCGACGCAGACTTTGACGGGCAAACCGTTGACTATCTGCGTCAGCTCGCCGAGAATGGGGGTATACCATGGTCCGAGGAGCCCTCTTGCCATCTCCCTGTGTCGTACGTCTTCAGTGGGTCGACCCTTGAAGATCGTATCAACACCGTCGCCAGAATCCTGATCGGGAGGTTACCCAACGTTGAACAGTTAGGTCTTTCCCTTCCGGCCCTCCCACTCGGCTACCATGACAATCCCAAAAGATCTCCTGAGAGCAACGTCGTTCTCAAACGCCTCAAGCACCTTGCTCTCCGTACCTACTCGCCAGTCATGTCTAGAAACGTACGAAGGGGCTACCGGATCCTTGAAGACCTCGCTGTTACCCCGACCCACCTCTTTCTCCAGGATCCCTTTCTCTGTCATGTCGGGATCGGACCAACCGCCAAGCCATTCTCTCATCTCTTCCAGCACGTCACCCATCTGATCCTCGGCGGCCAGATGACACATGAAGGGGACCACGAATCGGAGATTATTCATATGATCGAATGTTGTGCTCCTCTTCAGGATTTCAGATGCGAGGCTCCCATGCGCAACCATGATTCCGGGACTCACGGTGCCTTGGCGATCATCAACAGCCTCAAGAAGCAGCACGCAACGAGCCTACGAACCCTTGCCATTCGATTTTGTCAAGGCTGGCTTGAAGATGACCTAGATTGCATTGAGTTCACTTCATTCATCAATCTGGAGAACTTGTGTATGACTACAGCATGCATAAAGAAACGACAGGTCGGCCGGGCGAAGGACGATGCCACCAGAACTGAAGGCACCATCACCACACTGCCCAAGAGCCTGATTCAGATCTACTTCTTGGACTACCCCCAATGCATTGCAGATGAGCTGAAATGGCTTGCGTCGCACCGCGAAGCCTTGCCCAACCTCAAGCTTGTCCACTTCTGGGATACCCGCATGTGGAACGAATGGGGAGGGTGGGAAGACACGGAGTCGGATGCTTTGGTTAATAGCGGTCTGAACGTCTTGCCCTTAACCTGCGACGCTGTGGATTGGCAGGTCTAGAGCTCACCTTTGCGGTGTCATGCCAGGTCGGCACAGATATTGGACATCAGGTTGCGTCCGGAGGCGTCCCAAGGTTTTGCCGGTTCTAGCGTACTAGGTACGAGGCGAATCCGACAGTATGAGAACGGGGGCAACGATTATTACGGTAGCCATCTACAGAAGGTTTGAGACTGGCTTGGGTATTTGGTCACGGTCCGCTGTGGAATGAGGGTCACTTGGGGGTGGAATCGAGAGGCAGTGCGAGAACAACAACAACAACTACCCGCCCGATGAGTATCCCGCGGCGACTTATGCAGGGTTGTGTGTATTCTAGTGCTCTTGAACATCAAGACCTTTTCTTTTACATCTGCGTGCCCGCCCGATGTGTTCTCGCTGAGTAAGTTGAGTCATCTAATATCCAGGTTCCCTCAAATGGGCTGTCATCGTGAACTTCTCAAGGTTGTTATTTCCCCACCGTTCCGAAGGCTTCCAGGTATGGCCATCCATCTATAAGTACACCAAGACCCAAACGTCCGTTAACGATGAAAAAATTCTATTTGCGAAGGCTTCGTTTCTTCCGCAAATGTTTCCGGTGTTCGAAACTCTGCCCTCCATCATCCACCTCGACCATCCCCACGACGATCACGGCGTAGTGCAGATATCATGGCAAAATTAAGCGAACTTCCGTTCGAGATCATACTGATCGTCTACTCCATGATCCCGAACCAATACTCGGCGCGGGAAATTCTCGAAGCCGTCGATCGGAAGAGACGCGACGCCCTGCTGGACCCGTACACCGCCAGTACCAAGGAGTTCCGTAGCTTCCGCAAAAGGAACACCAAGGATCGGATGGCGCTGGTGAACTTGAAAAGGACTTGCAAAGCGTACAGCAAACTGCCGATCGGGAAACACTTTGGGCATGTACCGATAGGCATCCACGCGAAAACGCCCCTGGAAGCGATGAAACAGGTGTGCGAAATGATCGCGCTGTTGCTGGATTACCCCGACATGGCGCTTTGCGTTCGGCAGCTTTACTTTTGCGTGGAGAGCCGCTGCGATGAGGATATCAAGCTCCCCGCTCGTCTCCAAGACGACTTGGTATCGGCAGCCACGTCATCTGCGGTCAACATGAACCTCGACTGGCGCCCCCCTCCGCGTACAGATTCGATTAGCGATATTTTGAAGACCTCCTGCGAATCCGAGATTTTCCTAGGTCTTGGTATGGTGCTTTTGATGCGGCTTCTCCCGAACGTCGAGCATCTGGTCCTTGCAGCACACGTCCTCTCATACAACTGGATCAACCGCATGTTCCCGGCTTTCGGTGGTGCCGGCGGTGGTGCCGGCGGTGCCGTCCGCCCTTGTCTCCTGAGTAGTATTCGATCCTTCACCTTTCAAGGAGACAGCCCAACACTACCGAGGGGCAGGCTTTTGAGACTGTGCGATGCCACCGGTCTCTTCCAACAGGGATCGGAACTCTTTGTGCAAGATCTACAAGTGCGTCTCTGGCGAGAGATCGATACCTCGGAAGACGTTCAGCTTCAGAACCTGAGTTCCCTGGTGCTATCCAACGTATGGATCGAGCTGGAAGCGTTGGAGAAGGTGGTCGACAGGATTACTCGTCTGACCAAATTCATCCTCACGAACTTGGAGTGGCAGAGGTCGGCGCGCCCCGTGCCTGCCGCCTGCGACATCATAGACGCCTTGGAAAAGCACGCGGACAGCCTGGAAACGCTGGTCTTACGTTTCGCCCAGCGTCGGGAAGGCGTCCATCGGCCGGTCAAGTCGCTCGCGCACTTCACGGCGCTCGAAAACCTATGGATCAGGTCGACGGAGTTCCGCGACGTCAAGGACCCCGGTTCATTACCGGAGCCGGCGGACATGAACGTGATCATGATGGGCGGAGAAGACCTTTCGGGCACCGAATACAGCGCGTTCGCGACTCTGCCGAGAGGTTTGAAGAGGTTACATGTGGCCGGCTCTGCGTCATACGTGGGCATCGATCTGGACTTGATGTATTACAGACTGCGGGACGGCGACCCGTCTGTCAAAGTTCCTGACGACTTCAGGCTGGACGGCCGTCACGCAAATTCGCGATTTTATATCGATAGACTCCTACATATGGGCTTCAACGTCGGAGACGAGGTGGACAGACGCCCGGATTCGTGGTGAGGTCGCTGTTGCACACATATCTTGGGGCGTGGAGGGGCAGACCTCACGACGGCATGGGATGGGTGTCGCTGAGCTGCGTGGGCACGATGGATGGAAAAGAAGTTTGAAGAAGAGGAATACATAGCATCAGAGACTGAAAATAGAGAATATACCCATTTCCAGAAGACCAATCAACATGACTTTAAAAAAGGGAAGGAACTCGTGTCGGGCAACTCGCTTAATTTGCTCCTTCCTCAGTGCCGGCTCTCGACCGACTTCACTTTTCAACACGCACCTCAAAATTCTTTTTGAGCCTCCTCACCTAGCCCGTCACAAACTCCTCTCATCCACCACGGCCAAACACCACAAGGCCAACGACGACCATCCCCACCACCAACGAATGCGAGGCGCGGTCACTCAACATGGCGGAACTATCTAGCCTCCCGCCTGAGATTGTACTCCGCGTTGCCTACTTCCTCGCGCCCGGTCACCCTGGCAATGACCTCTTGGACGAGGGATTGCAGGATAGAAACTCCAACGCCCGGAGACTGCTCTGTCCCATCCACGCCAGACGCAGCGCCCTCCACAATCTCTCCATGACCTGCAAATCTTTCCATCGTCTTTTATTCCCCCACCGCCTTCGATCCGTGGGATTTGACGATTTCAACGGCATCTCGTCGACAAAGCGGATGTTGCTCTTCCTTCGGTACTTGAGAAACAACCCCGATGCCAGAAACCATGTGGTCCAGCTCTACGTCCACGCTCCGGCTCCTTATGACGAACCTCGGTTTATTGAGGTTCGTTCTAGATGATGCGTCTCAGTTATTCTCATACTAACCAAACAATAGTATGGTAACGCATGGCGTTTCTCCCGAACTGCCGCTGGAGCACACCACGCGGTTGATTTCTACAACTACTCTGGCTTTCCTTCCGACGTCTCCGTCTTCCCCGAGGTTCGTGCCCCAGCTATGCCTCCGAATTGATCTCGTTCTAACATTCGCGGGGCAGGAACGCACATCTTCCCAGCATCTTAACCAAGACTCCAGTGAACTCCAGATCGTGAAAGACGCAGCACGTTCTGTAGGAATCGATCAGCTCTGGGATCTAGCGGACCTAGTGCTCGATGAGGAAGTACTCCGTGGTTACGAAGAAGTTTCTGTCGGCGAGCCGCCATCAGAGAGGCCAAGGCAGATTCATAACTTGGTTCTGAATTCCTGTCTGGTCTCTCTGCTTCTGTTGAGCCTCCCAAGGACTCAGTATCTCCTTCTCGCCTTGACTTTCGAAGTCCACTTCTTCGTCTTCGACGCCTTGTCCAGCATGAAGAGAGCGAGGGATCACCTGGCGGGCACACCGATTCTCCAGTTGAAGTCACTGGCACTCGGCGGTCTTGAGGATGAAAGTTTCTCTTTGCAAACTCTGTCGGAAACCAGCATCAACGCCTTGTCGTGCTTCAAGATGCGCGATGCATTCTACATTGGAGGGTTTTCTATGACCAACGACCCTGGCTTCGCAGCTATGACCAACCTCACCAGCCTGACTTTTGACCGCGTGCCGGTTTCCTACGAAGAGCTCGAGTCTGCAATCCAAGGCTGTGGACGCCTGAAGAAGTTCATCTACATCCACCCCAGAGCTTCAATCGTCCCTACCCAGGTCCCCGGTCTAGTCCTCATCAGCCCTAGAGAGATTATTGACGCTTTGGAGGTGCACTGGACGACGATCGAAACCCTCTGCCTGGACTTCAGCCACTACACCCACGAGGAGGATGACACTGATGGTGACGACATCACCTCACTCAAAAGTCTCACCAGCTTGAAGAGCTTATGGATCGACTGTGACTGCTTTGGACTGCACTTCCTTCCCAGCGCTGAAGACACTTCATTTGCTCAAAGACTCCCAACATCAGTGCGTCGGCTGCATCTAACTAACTCTGTTGGCACTGTCCATGACGAGCTGCTCATGTGGCACGAAGAGTTGATTGATGGAACTGCCGATGTTCTAGTGCCCGATGAGCTGGAACTTGAGGAGGTGTTCACCCTGCAGGACGCGCAAAACATCGTGAAGGACCTTGTGGCTATGTTCCAGACAACCAGGATACCCTCTGTGTGCATCAGTTCTGTTCGTCCCACCGCTTGGTAGGTAGTTGGTTAGAGGGAACGGAAATGCTCGTTGAGGTGGAAACATGGATCAGAAAACACGGTCATAGACTTACCAGCATTAAGCACTTATATTATATTGCCTTTTCTTGCTGCTCTTGGATGTGCCTGCCATGCAGTTACAGTCGTGGGCACTTCAGAGCATAGTCAATGGAATAATGAGAAAGCAACACAAAGAAGAAATCCATACTTACAACTGGTCCATGTGGCTGCGGGTGATTACATGAATCCACAAAATCTCCAGGCAACCAGTAAACACTGAACAATTTGATAGGCTCGCCTGGAGTGAAAGAGACTAGGTATGCACGCTTGATTACTCCTGCAGCTCAAACTATTGACAATTGAACAAGTCGATCAAAAAAGCCCTTGTCTCCTTGTTGTCCTCTCACCTTTATTGGCAACCTCTTGTCCCAGATTGGCGCTCAAAGGCAGCTCCATGAAGCTCCTCAACTGCGCCACCCTCAAGATCGAGGAGTTCTTCGGCTCCTCCATCCCGAGATCCTACGCCATCCTCTCCCACCGCTGGGAAGCCGACGAAGTCACCTACCAGGACGTCACCGCCGACCACCCCCAGGCTCTGGCGCAGAAGCGCGGATGGGCCAAGATCCGCCAGACATGCCGCGTCGCGCTGGGGCGCGGGCTCGACTACGCCTGGGTCGACACGTGCTGCATCGACAAGACGTCCAGCGCGGAGCTCTCCGAGGCCATCAACTCCATGTTCAAGTGGTACGCCGACGCGTCCGTCTGCTTCGCGTTTCTGTCGGACGTCGGGCCCGGGCAGGCGTTTGCGGAGTCGCTGTGGTGGACGCGCGGGTGGACGTTGCAGGAGCTCGTGGCGCCGAGGGAGGTGCTGTTTTTTGATCGCGAGTGGGAGGTGATGGGGACCCGGGCGCAGCTTTGCGAGGTCATTCATGGGATTACTGGTATTGGGGAGAAGATCCTGATGCATGGAGCGAAGCCGGGGCCGAGTATTGGGACGCTTCTGGCGGGTATTCCGGTGGCGGTCCGGATGTCGTGGGCGGCGAAAAGGGTGACGACGCGAGAGGAGGACCGCGCGTATAGTCTGCTTGGCATCTTTGGTGTCAATATGCCGATGCTGTATGGCGAGGGTAATGGGGCGTTCATGCGTCTTCAGGAGGAGATCATCAAGGACACCAACGACCTCACTTTGTTCGCGTGGACGAGCATTTCCAGAGGCGTGGCGGGCCAGGACTTGAAGGACTATCGGGGCATTCTCGCTACTTCGCCCCATGAGTTTCGGGGCTCGGGGAGCCTGGAGTTGAGTCGAGACACCAAGTACAACCCCGAGGTGAGAACACCATGCTTCTGCTGCTCTGGGACCACAGTCAGAACACACAACTAACCTCCACCACAGTACACTATGACCAACAAGGGCCTGCGAATGGTCGCCGAAACAACAGTATCAGACAAAAACCTCCAAGTCCTCAGCCTCGGCTGCCACGCCTCCTCCGACACTTCCAAATCCCAAGTCGGCATCTACCTCGAAGACCAAGGCGGCGGCGTCTACCTCCGCGCGAAGCCCCACACGCTCGTCAAACTCTCCAACAACGCGCCGGAATCCTCGCACGCGATCTACATCAAACGACACGTCGAGACGGAAGCCGCGGCGGAGGTCGCCGCGCAGATGAAGTCCGTCTCGCGCGGCGCCATCCGGTTCCACATCCTCTCCAAGTCCATCGAGGTGATATCCGCGGCGCCGGCGCGGATGTGGAACCCGCAGCGGCTCATGTTCATCACGGACGGCGAGAGCAGCAGCTTCGCCGGGTACGTGTACCTGCGGATGACGGGGCCGAACGGGAGCCTGGACGGCGTGGTGGCGTGCGGGTTCGACCCGGAGGCCAGGATGTGGTTCTGTCCCGGGTGGAACGGCCGGGACAAGATTTACGAGGCGGCGATGAGCGGCGATATGAAGAGGATGCGGGAGCTCGGGATCAAGAATGGCAGGAGCCGGGTTGCCTCGGCGAGTTCGAAGAAGATTATCGGGTTGCAGGTCACGGGGGCGCCGGGGCAGCAGGGCTTTGATGTTTCTCTCGAGATGTCGGCATGTACCGTCATGTGAGAGTATCAGAAAGAAACGAAGGTTTGTGTGTGATGATGTGTATGAAGGAGAGCGGATGGGGTTCTGGAAGCATCCCGGTCGCTACGCTGAGTTAATTCTGCTGACAGAGAGATGATGGATAGAGACGACGGGAAATTGCCTTGATTAACCGACATGATTAAAACAATAAGGTAACCTGCATCGTGACAAACATGTTCATACAGACCGGAGTCTGCATGATTGCTGCCACTTTGCCCAGCCGGCATACCTGCAGTGGCAACAGGGGTAAAGATATGCCATCCGGAAGCCAATTCCGTCGTCTCATGCATGCAGCAGACAAACACGGGTCATGAAATATGTGCAACTCGAACGAGTCGACTTTCGTTTGTAGCTCATGTTCGTGATATCAGCCTGCAGACGCGCCTGCCCTCTGCTGTTGGCCTGCCTGATTCCTGCTTCCTGCCTTTTCGAGGCAAGCAGCTCCTCTCGGAACCGAAGGGAAGGAACGACTCCACATTGTGGAATCACGTGCATGATCCCCACAACGCTCCCCGTTTGACGTGCGAAGCGAACCAATGACGACGCAACCGGTTCGATTATCTAATCAGACGTCACATCGCGTCGTCGCGTTACTCTGCACTGTTACTGGGCGCAAGGGACCAGTCGTGGACGTGGACCGGGTCGTTAACAGCTGTCGCAGCAGAAAGCACGGAGCAACGATAGCAGCTAGCAGCCAGCAGCAAGCACCACCACAAGAAGGCCAAAGCTCCTCCTCCCGATCCCCCAAGCTGACCTCACTTCTTCACTCTTCTCGTCCATTTCCGACTCCGAGTCAGTCCATCTCTTCTTCCAACTCCGTCCTCTTTTCCCATTCAACCCAATTGACTGCGATAAAAACAACGCAGCTCGGCTGTTTTTTTCCTGATTTTTTTCCTGGCTATTATCGTCGGGGTTGCGCAACCCAGCCAGGCGCAATCCACATCACTTTCCCACGACATCCGAGAGCGTTTGCGCGATCAACTCACCATCTTCCGTGAAAATGGCCCGACTGAGCGAGTCGCCAGCCAACGGTGCTCAACCACAATCCGCGACCAAGCACCAGGTTACCCTCAAAAACGGCGCCTTGGGAGGCTTCCTTTCCTCGCCTGCGAAGCCCTCCGGTTCTCAGTCGCCACACCCTAACAAGCGCCTGAAGAGCCTCACAGCGACTGCAAGCCCACGCTCTCAGGCTTCCCGCTCCGTTTCTCCTGCCGGCCAACGTCTACCTTCACAAGCCCCTCTCAGCTCCCCTGCGCGCAAGTCCTTGGCCGACACTTCAGACAACCTCGATATCGGAGATCGCAGCACCCCTGCCGACTCCGTTCAAGCCGCACCCGTCGACACTCCCACCGCATCTACGCCCACCTCCACTGCGCCGACCGCAAACATGGAAGTTGTTAACGCCGCCAGCGCGGCTACCCCGGAGCCCGTCACCGACCGCCCTGGAGTTGTGTCCTCAGTTCGCAAGACGCTCACCAACGTCGTGAACAACTTCACCGGAGCGCGCAACGGCAGCGCTACTATCACGTCCACATTCGAGCAGACGATCGTCAGCCGCAAGCGCAGCAGAGAGCCTGAAATTGAAGAGACGCCCACCCCTGCCGAGGAAACCACCCCCACGGACGACCAATCCGACGAGGCCGCCGAGCCTGCAGGTGCCAACGACACCGTCGTCGAACTTGGTAACCAACTCGAGGCCGACGTTGCCGCAGAGCGTGCCAAGAGTCCGGAAAAGAGGACAGCTCAATGTAACATTTGCCTTACACGCCTGAGTCTTCAATGCTAACGTTGTGCAGTATCGTCAGAGGCCACTCCTGCTACGGACGCAAGTGAGATCAACGTCACCACTGCCGTCGGCGACGCCGATACCATCGAAGCCGCCGAGTCGACCAAGCCCGCAGCTCCCGCCGAGGACGAAGACGAGGATATGGCGGACGACCCTGTGAACGGCCAATTTGTCCTCGACACGATCCTTGATCACAGGCATGATCCCAAGGACAACACTCTCTTCCAGATGCGCATTCGCTGGAAGCACGACGAGCCGAGCTGGGAACCCGAATCGAATATCCAAGAGGACGCAGAGGAGGCTCTCTTCGAGTACTGGAAGACCGTCAAGGGTGGCCGCCTGGGCGCTATGGTCGACAAGAACCTATGGCACGTTCTCAAGGTGGAGAAGCACAGGCAGAAACCCAATGGCAAGGTCGAACTGTCCGTCGCGTGGACCGGGTCGCCGGATCGATCTTGGGAGCCGGAGGACAACATCGTGCAGGTCGCCAGGGAGCTTGTCGACGACTACTGGAATTCCAAGGGTGGTCGCGAAAAGTGCGTCAGGGCCATTGCTGTACCTGCGAAGAGAGGCCGCGGTCGTCCTCGCAAGGTGGTGGATGAGGAAGCTCCGAAGCCAGCCGCTAAGCCAGCCCCGAAGCAGACCAAGGCCAAGGCGGCAAAGGAAGCAAAGGAGCCCGCGCCCAAGAAGACTCGCCAGCCACGCAAGAAGTTGACCGACGGCGTAGAGGACCAGAACGAGAGCGTCCCGGAGGCGGCCGCGAAGGATGAGCAGCCGGAGCAGGCTGCGAAGGAGCAGGTTGAGGCCAACGCAGAGCCTCCCAAGAAGCGCGGACGCGGTCGCCCCCGCAAGGCCCCCGCCGTGGCCTGAGTCGGCGACACCAGTACTTTTCCCGCTGTTTTCTGCGGAAGATTATAGACATTTGGACTTGCTAGGAAAAAACGGCGCGGCAGGGGAGCGGGATCTTTTCGGATGGAGGATTCCGGGCACGTAGTTCAGGTTTTACGAGGACACGGGGATTTGCCCGGAACGTGTACTCTATGTTTTACATTGGCTCTCATATGAACTTGGCTTTTACCCAAATATTAGAGCGGTTATCGATTCAAGCCTGCGCATGCATAGATAGCGTGAACTTTGTATGACTGAGGGCAGGTGCGATGGTTAATACTCACGATCTTCCTTGAAGACAATGGAGGATACTTTGCACAATGCTGCAGCGACAAGTTGGAGGTACTCATCAAGCATGTTATTCATGCCCTTTCCTCTACGTAACCAATATCTCATAATCTGCGACCTCTTCCACAACCCCAACCCCAACCACGTCTACCATAACAAGCCGAATAGCGAAAGCAGAGAATACAGCCCAGTCCGTCCCACCATTCTTCCTTCTCTCCCTCTCCAACGTTCCCAACATCTCTGCCGCCGCCGACATCACGTCCGAAGGATCGATGTTGCCGGGTTCGTCACGAGAAGTCTGCGTCGACGACTAGCGTGGCCAAGAACGAAGTCGTTAAGAACATGTCCAGGAAAGAAACCCGGCTTTTCCATCCCGGGTCTTTCGTATTGAAGCATCAAGTCCTCGTCTGGCGATTTACTACTCGGACTTGCTAAATCGTTCATGAGAAATATGTATCCAAGTCCTGCTACCTACCTTGCATCATCCACGTTACCCTTATCCCAAGCCAGGGAACTAACAATCAACGTTCGCAGCACACAGCGATGGCACGCAATGAGGCCTTCATGAGCACCTCAAACTTAGCTTAGGTACGATATATACGAAGAATAGAAAGAGCCCGTCCGCCACATCTCGAATCATGAGGCCGAGAAACGCCCCGAGATATCAATACCTTTCAAGCCTCCGAGGTGAAGTTCGTCATTCGCATATGCCCTACACACACCCACAGCCCTACGATAGAAGCCCGTCCAATCACCGATCGAGTTATTACCGGACAAACGACCAGAGCTTGCGCTGTAAATAGCCGCGGCTGAGCCCCACTGGGTGAAATGTTCAGACGAGCTTTAAATAAGATGTCGGGCGTCAATGCGTTATCGAGCTTTGTGTGGTTGGAGCTTTGATTCTTGTTTCGAAAGGCGCTGGAAGCGGGGAAGGGGGAGGAGTTGGTCGTTGGGACTTTGGATTCATGGACACAAAAGGGTTGGGTATACGTTTACCGTTGGGTTCAGTCCCAAGAATAGGACTCTTTATTGAGCGGGCTGAGGGTTTGTTTAGAAGGGCTCTGGCTACGTACTCGGGCCTGGATTCCTTTTGGGGTGAGATGAGTGCGGAGTGTAGTACAAAGCCGGTGTTCATGGCATGGGGGATAAGCTCTTCGTTGGCATTATCTCAGAAGGAATTGGCTGGACTTACAGTCACTGACGATGAGCAATCATCGCTGAATATGAAGAAGCCTAGGAATCCCGATTACCCATGCATTGGCAGCCACCGATCGTGGCGTAGAACAAAAGAAACATCTTAACGCTCGAAAATGCAAGCCCGCTTTCCCCTAATGCGCCGTGGCTGCTTACTGACAGATCTACGAGTGAGATGACGGTTTGGTGTGACACGCGACGGTTGGCGAGGGGCGAATTGATCGGCGTGACATCATCGGAACCGGCCGATGGAGAGATGCGGGATCAATGGGAATGGGTATCAACGGGAATGTTTTGAACATTTGTGTAAACGAGACTGGATATCAACGCCTTTTTTCCGGGTAAAACCCCCCAATTTCGCTGAGATATATCCCAAACATGGCCCCAAATCCCCTCCATAAACAAAGCGGTATCATAGAACGAACGTAGCCGTAAACCCTCCCCCGAACACCTAAAGCAAAATTCGTAGACGTACAATTACATCTAAACCAGTCGTCTCAACTACCGCGCGTAGTCTTGCGGGTTGTACTGATAAGCCTGCGGTCCCGGCACGCGGTGTTGCGACGGGTCCGCATACTTGATCGGGTCTCCGCGGTACTCGCGGTGCTCCTCCTGCGTCTCCGGATGCGTGGGCAGCTCCGAAGAGAAGCCCTTGTGATCCAGCCCCGGAGAGGCGTAACCCCCGCTGCCGTCTGAGCTCATGCTCGTCGGGCGGCTGCTCTGCTGGCTCGGACTCGGCTGCCCTTGCGACCACCGCCACGAGTTCGGGTCCGGTGAGAGCTGGCTCTGTTGCGACATGGAGCTGCGGTCGTACTGCGGTGGCGCGGCGTGCTGGTCCGACAGTCCCGGTGACGGCTGCGGCGGCGGGTAGAGCGTCTTGTTCTCCTGCGGGTGGTAGAAGTTTCCGGGGAGTTCGGCGATGAACGAGGTGTGGCCTGGCGCGTTGTTCTGGTTCTGGGGGGAGCTGGGGAGCTCCATCGGCTTGCCGTACTGCGGCGCGTAGTTCCCTTGCGACCCCGGGCGGAGGCTGGCCATGGATACGGGACGGGGGACCTGGTAGCGGGGGTTTGCGGGGGAGTAGGACTCGGGTCGCGGGCTGCCGTCGGGGCGCTGGGGGAAGGTCGGGGAGCGGCCGCCGCTGAGACCGGTGCTGGTGCGGTCGGCGGGGTTGATGGTCTTGAGTTTCCCGTTCTCGATCATGGCCTGGAGGACACCGGCGTCGAGGAGCTCTGCCTTCTTGATGATGCGCGAGACCATCTCTTTACTCGCGGCCTTGAGCTGGACCTTGACGAAGCCGGTCATGGTGACGTTGCAGCGGATCTCGATGTCCTCGCGCAGGTAGAGGCCATCGACGGGGACGCCGAGGCCGGCCATGCCGATCTCGGGCTGGTGAGGGGCCTCGACGCCGGGCTGGTTGCCGTCGATGCGGTACTTGATGCGGATGTCGATGTTCATGGGGGCGTAGGTGTGCGTCTGCAGGCCCCAGGGCATGTCGTGGAAGCAGCCGTTGAAGGAGATCTTGCCGGAGCCCATCTTGCCGATGCCCGGGATGAACTGGACGCGCTCGGTGATCTCGTACCATGTCGAGTAGTACTCGTCGGCGGCGGCGTCGCGGGGCGCCTTGATGGGCTTGTGGTCGAGGACGAGGGGGTTGAGGGTGATGACCTCGGAGTGGGAATGGAGGATATCGATGGCGAGTTGGCGGGGGATGAAGCCCGGGATGGGGGTGATGGTCGTGTAGACCTCTTTTTTGCGCAACATTGTCGTCGATGTCGTCGTCGTCGTCTTCTTCGTTGGTGTATGTGTGGTTCTCGAGTCGTCGACCGTGATAGTTGTGTTAGGAGGCGTCAATGCAGGTCGGTGGCGGGTGGTATTCTCGAGAGGTGTGTGTGTGCGTGTGTGTATGTGAAGGATCACAAGTCCGTAGAGATGCCATGAGAGAAAGAAAGATTATGATGGATGGGCTGTTGGGGGTGTTTGCTGACGGAGGTGCCGCTCACAATTAGGCATTTGATCAAGCCAAGGAGGCCACACACAGCCCCCAGGACCGGGACCCCTCCTCCTGCTTTTACTCCTGCTTAGCCTTAGCCATGGGGGCCGAAAAGGGCATCGAGCTTGGGAACGAAAAGCATGGCATGTGCATCAGAATCAGCAAACACCAGTCCAGGTCGGTCCAACAAAAAGATGCGCAGAACTCTGTGTCTGTCCCTCAGTCTCGAGGGGCAGGGCGAGCAATTGGCAAGGTGCAGGGTGCTTGAAAGATGGAGGTGGGGGGCCCGGGTGTCCTAGCGGTAGGGTGGCAGGGGTGGCGGTGAGGTCTCACGTCATCTGGCGCACGGGTACAGATGATCCGTCCCCCGGTTTGCGGTGCTAAAAGGGACTTTCGGGAGCGTTTTTTTCGAGGTTCGCACCTTTCAGAAGGTTCAAGGCCGCTGAAGGAACGTTTCCAAGGGTCGTAGGTTCACTGCCTTCAGTGGACTGTCGGCGCTAGGCCCCCGCTAAATGTCGCTAAGCCAGCGCGAAGGATCACTAGAGCTTCTACGCTGACGCGGACCGGCCAATGACCACGCGGCGCTATCGTCCGGGTGGAGAAGAAGCCGGCGCATGAGGATTTGCCATTGGCCACCGCCTCGGAGTTATGCTGCCTTTATCCCATCTTTATTCTTGTTTCCTGGGTTATGCATGTCTTTCACAAATGCCATTCGACGATTGTTTCCACTACCACCCGCCGCTTCGTTGCTCCTGCTGTCACTTTTCGCGACATTCAAACACGCATCCAAGGATGTCCGGTCGTTGTCTCTTTCAGCCCTTCGCAAACAGGGTCCTCCGAGACACACCCAAGAGCTGGCAATGGAACCCAAAGCTCCTCTCCCAAGCGGATCCCCGGCCAATTCAGCTTTCGTCCCTGCTTTTGCCTCCATCGCGACAGCATTTCGACTTCAAAAACCTTCAGCTCGCCCCCTGATCTTCCGTGATCTCCAGAATCTTTGCGGCTTGGGCGTCCCACGCTCGGGGGTCTGAGACGGCGGTCAAGTCCGTACTCCGTACACGACCCGGATTCCCAGATCAGCTCGCCCTTCCAAGCCTTCGGCACCAAACTTGCCTAGGGGAAGCGCCGCGCGCCCACTTCCATCATCGCCATCACGGGGTTGGAAAGGGGGTCTCTTGTGGTTTTGAAGCCGTTGAACTTTGGCCTTGGCGGTCGTCGCGCGCCTCAACCGCGAACGGCGCAACTTTCGCTTCTTTTTGACGCCTACGACGTTGGATCGTTGAGGAAAAAAGCTTGGTCGTCTCGGTTGATCTTGACTCAGTCACCATGTCCAACAAACGGCCGCAACCGTACATTCCATCGACGCTGTCGCACCGAGAGGGACGCCATCGAGACGTCCGAACGGTGCCGATCATGGACTTCCACCGACGTCCGGTCGCGCGAAGGAGCTGGCCCCGACACCTTGGCGTCAACGGACTGTGTGAGTCCGGCGTCACGTTCTCTTTGCCCGCATCGGCGACTGATAATCATGAGGGAACCTCAACTGCATCTCCTGCCTTTTCCAAAGAACGACAAGAAGCCACTCAATCATATGCCGATGATCCAGTCGAAGCTTACAAAGAAAAGGGACCGGACGGCAGAGACATTGGTCATCGATTGAATCCGAGTCACATCTCAACAACTGCCAAAGTCGCATTTCAGCGGAGCTGCTATCACTCTGCAGAATGCCCACTTCAAGCGAGCTGCATGCGACGCCTCGCATTCCCTCACACAACAGCGTTGGCATCTTGACATTCCGCTGTCATCCATCAGCATCTAGATCATCTTGCAGCAAAACCCGTATCTATCTCGGCCGAAGTTGACCCCCAACCACCAACCTCTATCTCCTGGGGCCGCAGCAGCCGGTGTGCGTGCCAAGCACGTCCCTGGCCGCTCAATCCCTCCCACATGGGACCTTGTCTCACAAGCACGCCTGTCGCCCATGTGGCTGCTGACTCGACCGAGGCATGCCTGTTTCACACAACCTCCTCGCCCCTTGAGATCCAACTGCGAAGCAACCGTGAAAAGCTCACGATGCAGGTTTGTGTGGTGTTGCATGTGGGTTCGGGGGCAGCGATCCACCAAAACACGGCGGTTCCTCAGCTCCTTGAACCGGAGGCATTCACGATCCGGGTCCCTTGCTACAACTCAGGATCCTCCCGTCTTCGCCGTCGCCGTCGCTGTCGCCGGTGTTTCTTTCTCATGGCACTTTGTGGCTTTTAAAAAGGCTATATAAGGCCCGGACTCCCTAGGGCTGTACCGGCTCATTGGATACCGGACTGCGCCGCCTTCGGACGGCCGAAGATGAGATGGAGATGTGCGTGTGCTGCCGGATTCCACACTCGCTGAGCCACGGTCAGCTCAGCCCCGGACAGACTGTAGGGCTCTGTCATCGAGGTCCGCCGCCGCCGCTCCGGTCCCGATTGACCGAGTCGGAAGTTTTTGACTGTCGCTCATCACAGGCTTGCTGCTCCTCGCATTTCGCCCAGTTCATGTCATGCGGCTGAGGTTAGCGACCTCAAGGCTATTCGTCAACTTCTACGAACGGCTGAGGCGAGGTAAAACTCTCACAGCTGCCACTATGTGATCATGCTGTCATCCTGATCGTTGCCGCTGATATCAGTGCTGGTTTTCTCTCCATCGATGCCATCGTCATAGTCCCTGTTACTGTTGCCGTCGTCGTCCTCGTCGCCATTGCCGTTATTGTTGTTGTTGCTATTGCCATTGCTGTTGCCGTTGTTGTCGCCGTTGTTGTTGCCGCCGTCGTTGCCGCCGTCGTCTGTCGTCGTCATCCGAGGATTCACATCGTGAGGACAGTATTCGATTTGCCAGGAATGACAACAAGCCGTTGTAGGAGGTTGTTTTTATCACAGTCTGTTAAAACTTACAGCGCAAGCTACCCTCTTCGAAGATTTCCATCGGGGCGAATCCACACTGGGATTCTTCTTCGCGTTCTCATCAGCCGATAACCACTGCCGTCCACTGCTCAAAGTTTACGCCTGCCCGTCCAAGCAACTCTGCGCCGGCGCATGTTCCATCAAACGGCACCGTCTCTGCATACTGCTGACGTCCTCAACCCTCATACTGCCCTTCCGCACACGCGTTCCGACACCTCGGAACCCTACCAGCCCAGCCGGCCAGCCGCAACATCACATCGTTCATCTATCTGTACGTGACCAAAAAGCCAAGTCGACACCCAGCAACTCAACAAGAAACGTCAGCACACACACACACACACACACACATGCCGATCCCAGCTGCCGAAGTCAAGCTGCTCTATTCCCTCTTGGCACCCCACGACAGCAAACCCATCTCCCATTGCAATTTCCCCCTCCGTGATTGGCCCTGTTCCCTGATATCGAGCCGGGGGCGTTCGCCCTGGGGCACGTGGAGACCGAAAGTGGCACCCACCAGGTTGCCGTGCCCTCAATTTCAATTTTTCTCCCCCAGGATTTTGCGGGGGAAGGACGGATAACAGGCGGAGAATCCGGGGAACGGGCGAGGGCGGGGAACATTGAATTGGTTTGTTTAGATTGCTTACGGATACCCATCTCAGCATGAGTCAAGACCTCGAGGAAAGGAGATTTCTGTCGTTGAGCAACCGGCGTTCACTTGCGGTGTTTTTCTCACGATATGTACGAATACTGGGCTCTGTTTCGGACGTGCCTTGCGCGGTGTTGATCTCCCGGGGGGAGAGATCATCTCTGCTGCATCGAGGACGATGTCACCGCGCCCACTATTGGAGGAGTAAAGGCACACAAACAAGCAACACCCGAAAAGATTTCAAATGCTGAATGGGAAGGGGTGACGATACTACTACAACCACAACCCATTCACCATGCAGGCAGGCCGGCGGCTGGCAAGGCCACAGGTATGGTTACCCCGCATGGTCTCGACGTCCCACTTCCATGGGTCCCGGGGAATGTGTGCGGAAACGCCAGAGCTGCAGGCCGTTCCCCAAAGAGAGAGAGTGTGTGTGCAATTCGACATTGTTCCTTGTAGAGTGTGCTTGGTAAACTGGGGCGACTCGGTCCAATTCTGGAGTCGGCACTTGCAAGGACGGATGTTGGATGTAACGTCCTGGCTCGGAGTTACTGGAGCTATTAAATGGGGGTTCGCCGTCGTGATTGTTTTTGCTTCTGAGATCGTCCCGTTCTCTCTTGACCTGATAAGTGAGCTTCGGACTGAGAACTCACTTCGGAAGGTGTCTTTGTCTTTCCCCTGGTTATCGAGGTAGCAACGACCACCACGGCTGCCGTCTATTAAGAGACCCGGTCGTCCTTTTCTCTTCCCTCGACAAGAACAGGACGGCTACTTTTTCTGGTCGACATACTTGGAATTGAAGCCTCCTCTCGAAATTTTAAAACACTCTCAACGGACGAGAAAGACTCGATCTTCAGCACAGTCACTACGGCGTTCCGACCGCAACGATGAGCTCCTCCGGCGAGAAGGAGGCGCCCCGGGGCACCCATGTAGAGGGCACCACCGACGAGGCTATTACGAAGGCGCCTCTCCACGACGGCACGATTTCGAGCGCAGCTGGGAAGGGCCAAGTTGCTACGGACAAGTGGGTCTTTTCATCTGTGAACGGCTCTCACGAAGTACTGACGCCCGGTGATTAGATATGGCAACCCTCTCATGGAGTTCGACCCCGTCGCAGTACGGAAGCTCCGGTGGAAGTTGGACTTGCACACAGTCCCTACCGTTGCATTGCTGTATCTCTTCTGCTTCATCGACCGTGCGAATATCGGTGAGTCTGGGCCCCACTCACATCCTGTCACCATCACCAGCTAACACCATCCTCACCAGGCAATGCTCGAATCGCTGGCCTCGAGAAGGACTTGGGCCTGAAGGGTTACGATTATAACATGATTCTCTCAGTCTTCTACATCTCGTACATTCTGTTTGAGATCCCCCTCATGATCCTCTGCAAGTGGGTTGGTCCCGGCTGGTTTCTGCCGACCACCTCCCTGCTCTTCGGCATCGTCTCCATCGCAACAGCTTTCTGTGAAACTAAAGCTGCTATTTGCGGAGTACGTTTCCTGTTGGGCATTTTTGAGGCTGCCATGCTTCCTGGAATCGCGTATTACCTATCAAGGTGGTACCAGCGCGCCGAGTTGACATTCCGACTGAGTAAGTCCACAACCACCAAAACATCACAACACTACATCATGAGATATAAAAATTAACGTTAATTTTGAGGTCTGTACATGATAATGGCACCTCTCGCCGGTTTCTGTGGTGGGTTGTTAGCGTCTGCTATCTTGACTCTCGATCACTTCGGAAGTCTTCACCGGTGGCGGATGATCTTCGCGATCGAAGGCATCGTGACAATTGGACTGGCACTCATCTCATATTTCACCTTAACCGACCGTCCGGAAACCGCACGCTGGTTAACTCAAGAAGAGAAAGACCTCTGCATTGCGCGTGTCAAGTCAGAGCGTGTTGGCACCACGGAGGTCATCGACGGGATCGACAAGAAGAAGATCGTTCGCGGAATGACCAACCCGGTGACACTTGAAATCGCCCTTATTTTCCTCTTTAACAACATCACCGTTCAAGGCTTGGCCTTCTTCCTGCCGACAATTGTCAGCAGCATCTACCCGACCTTCTCAACCGTCCAGAAGCAACTGTACAGCGCACCACCCTATGCCCTCGGAGCGGTCTTCACGCTGGTGTTTCCCGCAATCAGTTGGTACCTTGACAGACGCCAAGTACTCATTGCTCTGAGCGCGCCGATGGTTATGGCGGGATACATCATGTTCCTTGCGTCGAACGTTGCTAAGGTCCGTTATGGTGCCACGTTCTTGATTGCGGGAGCCGCAACCATCATCGGTCCCATGTCGAATGCTCAGATCTCTGCGGTAAGTTCTGATAACTCTTAAACTCACGGGCTTCATGTTAATGAGTGACGCAGAACGTTTTGAGTGATACTTCGAGAAGCAGTGCTATCGGTATGAACGTAAGTCCATCATCCTCTTGTGCCTTCTGTGAATGTCACTGGTGGCTAACAATGTGCAGGTCATGTTCGGCAACGTCGGAGGTCTTATCAGCACGTGGTCCTACCTGCCCTGGGACGGTCCGAATTACCACATCGGCAACGGTCTCAACCTGGCCTGCGCGAGCATGATTCTCATTGTGGGTTTCTCCGCTTGGTTCTGGATGAAGTGGGACAACAAGAAGCGCGAGGACCGCAGTATCGAAGAGGAGTTGGCGGGTATGTCGGAGCAGGAGATCCAGGATCTGGACTGGAAGCACCCTGCTTTCCGGTGGAGGACGTAAGCGTCTCGCGCACGTCTTGCGGCGAGACCATATGATTATCAAAGAAGAGTTCAGGATTATTACACGCATAACGCATCACGAAGATTCATCAAATATCAAATCACGTTGAGAAGACATCCAATTTGAACTGAAGTGGGCTACTTGTCTGTCCGTGCCTTCTCGCAGCACAACGTCTCGCTGAGTACACAGCCGAAGAAAATAATCACCGCAGCGTCTGACTTCCAAAGTCCACGTGCAATTTCGAATGCATCCATCATTCCAGATGAACCTCCAAACATTTCCCTCACTCGCACATACATCACTTCTCAAATCTTGGCGCGGCGGAGCTAGCACGGGACCGCCCGACCAGCATGCAGGATCGTCAGACGCGCTGACTGGCCCGTTTCTATATCCAGTGTTGGGGTCCGTCGGCGGCGGGGGGCCTCAGCCCTCTGAGCTTACCAAATACTACCCAACATAACTCCGGAGGCCAGTTGTGTGGGCGATGAATGATGCGAAGTCTTTTTGGAAGTGGTTCGAGTTGACCACCCATTTGGGTGAAATAGTTGAAGCTGAGAAGATGTGGGCACGGCCAAGGGATGGGGGCGTTGAAAGATGGTTACTGATGAGGTAAATCGGTGTTGGAGATACTGTTGTAATGAGGCTGAGAACCTCATGTGATGGGGGATGCTTTTATTCGGGTTGGGGGCGAGGAGGAGGTGGTTGCTCGTGAGTATTGGGGCGTAGAATGTTGGGTCCTCCAGCAATAAGGCATAGCAGCAAGCCTAATCATACTTGTAAGTATAAAAATCTACCTCTCATCTAGATATTAATGAAGAATACTCATTAATAAAGAATACTCAAAGGACGATAAGAACGACAGGACCAACAACAGGACCAACGACAGGACCAACAGCAGGGCCAACAACAAGAGCAACTACAAGAACAGCAGCAATAGAAGAAGAAGCAATAAAGAAGGAAAAGTCCCAGCGTTTCATTACTCCCTACTCGAGCATCGTCAACTACAGATTCGACATCGAATTACGACCGACAGAAGATTAGACTTATCTCAGTTCAAATAAAATGAGATCTCTCAGCTACTTTCGACTATACTTCTTCCTTGCCGCTCTCAGCCTGGCCTCCGCCCATTCAGCCAAGCTCAACATTACTGCAGTCGCCGCCCGCAATGGCGTCTCGCACTTCGAGTGCTGGGAGCTCAACACGCCCTTCACATCTTCCAACCAGTCCGGCCTAGTCAAGACCAGAACCGCAAGTCTGGGCGACGTCTCCAAGATGACGTACAACGTCGTGCCGGCCGGCTTCGACGGCGGTTTCCACCCGGCCCCGAGCAACCAGTGAGTTCCATCTTCTTCTTATCTGACAAGAATTCGAGAGATTCGGAACTAATCTACAATAGATGGGTCATCCTCTTGTCTGGACTGGGCGTCATTACTCTGCCTGATAACACCTCCACGACTATTACGGCAAACGGTGGCGGGTTCGGACTTGTCTTCGCGACGGATACGGCTGATCGAACCAGGCAGGGTCACGGATCGATCTTCCCGGGCGTAACAGAGTCCATCGCTTTGCAGATCCCGACCAGAAATAATGAGATTCCGAAGCACCGTGTTCTGTATCACGACAAGCCTTGTACTGTTGCCGAGGTTGCCGGCTTGAGGTCCTGGGCCTTTGAGAATTAGACCCCTATTTCTGAGTGGAACATCATAGACGACAGATATGACGAGGGCACATAGAAGGGGTTATTTGACAGCGATATTTGGTGGAGGTACGTAATGGGACATGGACCTAACTATTAGAATATTACTGGACTCGCATCCTTACGCCCATTCAGTTGTCAAACATGATGATGACGTGCTGTTATTTCTCCAAAGGCACTCTTTTCATCCTCGTCAAATTTCTCTGAATCTAACCTAACACCTGGGAAACGATTGCCTACAGCTCATCCCTCTGAGATCCAGTCTTAAGATCCACTGAAAATGGCTCTGTCGAACTGAAGTCCTCCACCCTTCCCAGCAACACCTCTAGTGCTCGAAACGACATAGACGGCGCGTCGCGGCCGATGAAGTGCCCCGACATCGGCGTCTCAAAGTACGTCAAGCCACGCTCGGCATGCCACGAACCCAGCTCACCGGCGCCGGCCAGCGTGCCCAAGTCCCCGTTACTGTGATAGGGGATGTTCAAGGTGGTTTCCGGCCGCGTTTGAAAACCCTGTGTTCCGCCCCAGGTCATGTTCTGGATAGCCAGTAGCGTACCAGTTGACTGTAGTATGAAGTCCCGGAGTCCATGCCCTACGATAACATTTTGCGTTTTCTCAATTATCCCGGGGATGACTGGCAAAGATCCGGGCCCAGGGTTATTGGAGTTGTCCGTGTCGTTTACGAAAACGGGCTCGCGACTGCAGAAGCGCCATTCCTTGTCCAGCGGTGCGTTGATGGCGGCCTTTACGTCTTTGCGGTCGAAGTAGACTGGGCCTTCAGCTGGATAGTAGAAGCGGTTCTCGGTGAAGCCTATTGGGTCGAAGGGCAGAGGGCAAGATCGAAGGACATTGTACAGGCTGAAGCAAGGGTTTGCATCTCCTTCCGCCATGGCAACAAACGTCAGGGCATCGCACTCCGGAACATACTCATTATCCGGAGTAAATGCACCGGGGATATTGACAGGCTGCGCACCCGAGGGTGGGAACGTGAAGTATCTATCCACGTATTCCGTGTAACCACATCGATCATCAATCTCCTTCACCTTGTCTCTCGATGTTTGGTTAAGGGTGAACGCTGGGCCCCAATATTCCAGCGTCTTCGACACGCCAAAGTCTTGACCGAGTCCGCGCTGCGATATCGTCGGATCAAAGATCATCGTGCCTTTGAGGTTGAAATAGCTCGTGTCCTGGGTGTCGAGCATGGCGCTGGAGATGTACGGGCAGTACAGGCCACTGTAGGATGAGCCGGCGACGAGGATTTTGTAATCGTGTAAGTCGAAAGTGTCGACAAAGTTGCGCCAGAACCCCAGAAACTGTGCTGCTACGTCGTGTTCATCCGTAGCTGTGACAGGTCCTCGCGAGAAACCGGTGCCAACGGGCTGATCGACCCAGACGACGTTGGAAAGCCGATGCCAGCTCCAGGGGTTGCGAACGGGAGCATAAGTGCCTGGCTTCCATGATATTGGGCCGTTCTCTTGCAGAAGTTCGCCGATTGACGAACATCCGGGCTGCAGCGCATCAGCTTCCAAGGATACATCACACCCGAGTTCAAGACCAGTCTTACACCGCCGGTGAGCCAGATGACTATTTCCTTTTCGGCTGGAGGTGTCTCGGATGGAAAGAACCAAAAGTAGAGCGCTTGAATGTCGTCGCCACTTGCGGAGGAGTTGATGGGTAGAAGGCCGGCGTAGGACTCTCCAACATTGAAATCGACGTTCGGGATGTTGTTTCCGTCGACGGCGAACTCTAGTGGGATGTCAGACTTCTAGTGGTCATTGACTCTGTAAGATGCATGCTCACCTTTGGTCTTGCTGTTCAGAAAGCGATGACTGGCTTGCCGTGGCCAGACTTCGTCATTGGGTGCTTCAATTGGCGGTGTCGTGAAACTGTCTGGTACGACGTCGATCATATTGTAAGGGAAACCGCGTCTGTTGAAGACGGCTTCGGCCAAACAGACACATGAAAGAAGGAAGACCAAGTCAAAAAGGCATGTTCAGTTACCTTGATTGTAATGCCTCAATCGGGTGTTGATCCTGCTTATTTAAAGCCATCACATCTATCATCATCAACTTCGTAAGCTATTGATCGTTATTTACGCAGGCATTGCTTGGCAATGGATCTCACTTGTTCAACGATGCGTGGAGAGGGTAGTACGAATAGTGTCATTGAGCGTCGCAATTGACGCGCCTCAGCACTGGTCGGGCGAGGCCTAGAGCTAAGGGAATCTGATCCCTGCTGCATCTTGTCATTAATGCTACCCACCTGCTGAAAGACCGTCGTCGTCACTGCTCGACTTTGTCGCTGCTGTTATCATTGTCAATGTTCCTAGTGTTCGTCGATGCAACAATCTTTAGATATTCAAAATTATCATAAAAACAATCCAGAAGAGAAATAGTATAAATGACCGAGCTTAAAAGCGACTTGTTGCTTCAGAACACTGTTATCCCATGCAGGGTCGTCGCGTCGTCTCCGGAGTCTTGTCGACTTGGGCAATTCGACGACTGTCACATCTCACCAGCGCCATCGCCATCATCGCCTTGTTGATGCTGCTCCAACTTGTTTTACTCCACTGGATATTCTCAATACACAGCCATCGCCAGGTCGTGACTGGACGGCAAAACAAAGAGCCGCTTACTCAATCTCAATCGTACGTGGAGTTCAATTTGACTTTGACAGGAAACACTCTATCTCCACGGCATTGAATCTGAAGTAAGCCGTCTCTACATGATCGAGCCGGACCTTCGCCGTGGGCAGCTCCAACTGTCGCGCGCGGACGATTAGACCGTTCGCTGGTCCCTGTTGCGCAAAGACTCTCAGAGAAACAACGCAAGGATACCCGAGCTCCGCGTAGCTCCGCGAGAGCCCAACACGGATCCGAAGCGCCCCGAGGACTTCGTTGTTCTGTTTGGTGTGTCCCGTCCCTCGCGGACATGTCTCGTGCGTGCGCCTTACTCGCGCCACAACGCCATCAGTATGATACTCCCGCCATTCTACAGCTCTTTTATGCTTACTGCCTCTACATATCTACATGCCGTCTTGATCTCAACCGTTGCGATTGTCGTCCCAAATGCTGCTCACACTCAAATCTGCGGCATGTGAGAGAACTTCAGCTGTCGGGCTGCTCTGAAAGCCAATTCCACAATTAGACACTACTTGCGCTAGCAAATTGAAATTCAGATGGAAGCCTTCGATCCGGAAAAGTCATGCAGTTGGGCATCGCAGGTTTCCGTAGGCATCAAGGATAATTTCTCCGAGAGACTTCAACTAACGCAGGGGAAACGCCTTACCACTGGGTCATCGGGTTCACCCCTGACTACGCCCGCCAGGGCGCCTTTGGGCCCCTCGAAGTGACTCCGGGGCCTGCCTGTCTACGCTGTAGTTGACAGAAACCCACTGGCAATCAGAAGCAGTGCGACTGGATACACCATACTTCACATTCGAGACGCCTCGCGAATGCGACCCTGCCTCTTATGCACACTTCAGACGATGTCCAGGCGATGTAAAGTGACATGGAGCTCTCCTCCATCTAAACCTTCCACCTAGCCGTCATAGGCGCGGATCCCCACAAGCTTGAGTTTATCGCCCGGCGCAGCGCCCTGAAGCTGTGAGGTTCTCGCCTTCAACGGTTCGTGTTTCGCTGCTCTGCCAATCCGGGACGTTTGCTCACGAGAGTCAGTCGATATGTGTTTGAACTGCCATTGCGGAGTTGTGTATCTGCTCGGCTTGTGATCATAGCTTGCCGTGACAGCTGTTAAATAGCGTAGATGCTAATAATCCACATCTCGCCGGCATCAGTGTTTCCGCAGGGCATTTTACTCGGGTACTCATAGCATGGCTTCACTGAATCAAGCATCGTTATCTGGCCAGATATAGTGCGGGTCCCTTCAATGGCGTGTCGGCTAGATTACTGACAGCAATAACGATACTACCGATCACCTGCGTCGTCTCGGGGGATCGGCCTTTTGCCAAGACCGCGCCGAGAGGAGTGTTCGCCCATCATACCGGTGTTGAAAAAGATGGCAAGCGGCCAGGGTTTCACTCGAACGAGAAGAGCCTTGCTCGGTTTCCGAGGGTGTACTGAGGGTGTGGTGTCGCTTGGAGGGCAAAACACGGGTTGATTTATTCCCCGAGAGATTCCCAGGATGAAGCTCAGTGGAAGCCAATGGTATTCTATGACAATTATTTCCCGTATCAGTTGCGATAAATACCCTCGCTACACGAAATCGAATGCGATAGGGCGTGCGATGCAAATGGTGTGTTCACTTGTATGGGACTAGCCGACTTAATCGAGACATGTAGCCGACGGGACGACGATGAATTGAGCTGATCTAGTATATTCAGCCCAAGGAACGTGAGCCGAATCTTAGTAGAAAGGGCTCGATATCCGAGGAAACATTCTCCAGGTGGGCGGCCGAACGGATTGCAGAGCTTCCACAACGTGGTCAAGATCGGAGATAGTAGTGATCAACTGAAACCAAGGCCAGTGATGTGTGGTCTTAACAAAGAGCAGGCGAAAGTGGGCGTCATTGAGTTATCGGGCCTGGGCCAACGGCTGGCCTGACTTTGTATCTGTCTGAGCGGCGAGCGGAAGACTATCCGCTAGGCCAAGGCCATAGGTGAAACTACGTGTTCTAACTCTTCAGAGCCGAAAAAGAGAAAGGGATTCGCAGGACGTCAATAGAAAATAAGTTGTCAACTTGCAGGTTTTGAGGACGGGTGTTTGAACTGCCATCCGTTCATTTTGGTCAAGATGGGGCTGCTCTTTGACTGATATGAGTGGCATCACCCAAGAGCGGGAGATGACTAAACAAAAGCTTAGCCTCTTTCAACAAGTAGTCGGTCTTTAAGCTTCTCGGGGAAAAGACTCTTTTGAGCATTGCTACTACGGGCAGAGGAAACATCTTTCAGACGAGTCATGGGTCCAGCCATGTAACAGTCGGCAAGACTGACCATTTCTGCTGGATGTCTTAATGAATGGGGCAGGAATGGGCCAAGGGGATAACGGGAACGATGTACACCATTCCAATCTAAGTTCGAAGTCCGAGACGTGAAGTTGTGACGTCTGGTCGGGGACCGCCGGCGGCTCCCCCAGGTAGGCCAACCAACACCCAACCATCTCCGCAAGTTCGGATTCGTCCTGCCTCTTCAGACCCGGCCCTGAGTCGGCGTAGGGGATCAGGGGGGAAGAAGGATAGATAGGGCCGGCCGCTCTGCTGTTGGGAACCTCACCTGATTCGTAGGCTGTGTGGCTACTCTGATACCCTGCACCTCAATGCGCCGTCTGTGCGATTGCACAATCAGGGAAATCCTTCCTTCATCCCAATAGCATTCAAGGTTCGAAACAAGCAGCACAGTGAGTCGGCGACCGCACCAAAACACTCTAGAAAGTCTATCATCCGGACGTTTCAATCCCCTCGCCGGCGAGCCCTCGCTCTCACAGCGCCGCCGACCATGGCTGTCCCCCTTCACCGGCATCATCTCATGATTACTTCGTGAACCGTGCCGGCGTTGGACTGAATGCCGTCCCGTCGTTGCAACTTTCTTATAAGACTTGTAGACCCGTCCCGTCCCTCCCTGCCCTTCTACTCGGTACTGAATCTGGATTCGGCATCGTCGTCAAGCAGCAGCTACGGTCATTACTACGCCAGCCACGGGCAGGTTCCTCAGCCAACATAATCAACTACTATTCAATCTTTATCAATAATCCTTAAAACAAACTTCAGCCATCAAAATGAAGGCCTACGCTGTGATCCTCTCCCTCGCGACCTTGGCTGCCTGCCAGGCTCCCCAGCCGGCCCCGGCACCCGCACCGAACGACACCCCGGCCTGCGCCGAGGCGAAGATTCTCGCCGGCGGAATTGCTCTGAACATCCAGATTCAGCAACAGGAACAGGCCGGACTCGCGGCCGTCTCTCAGACCCTCCAGGCGAACCCGGTCAACATGCAGCAGTTCCAGGTCGCCAAGTCCAACCTGCTCTCGTTCGTCAGCGACGGTATCCAGGTCCGCCAGGCCAACCAGCTCATTGCCCCCTCGGGCAACGGCGCGGCTCAGGGCCTCGCGGTGGTATGTTGCCCACGTCATTGGTCATGAGAATTACGGATGTTGACTCCAGATCAGGTCGCGAACGCCCAGCTCTCCGAGCTCCAGAAGGTTGCTGGCCTCACAGGCAACCCCCAGCAGGATAACCCTGTGGTCCAGTCTCTTCAGATGGATTTCTCTGGTGGTATCCAGCAGAACATGAAGAACCAGCAAGCTGTGAGTTAATGACGTTATGGCCTAAGGAAATACCAATACTAACAATAACTAGGCGCTTGTTGGCTGCTAAAGAATGAAAGAAGTTTAAGCGGTCATCATGAGATAAGCGACGGTGCTCAGGATCGGGTTCGGACACTGGCGTTCAGCGGCTTTGTCCTGTTTACTTCTTTTAATCACGAAACGATAGGAGCTGGGCGGCTGGGGCTTGACGATGTTGATCCTCGATGGGGTTCAGCCGGGACGAGTACCTGATAGGTTACTTGAATACCACCAGATATCCGACTATCACTAGTTCTATTCTTCTGGGCTTGAGGTCGAAAATTGTCCTCTGGTACAAAAAGACAGAAATAAGCATCAATACTACAAACATTAGTAGTACCAAATCTGCTGTTCCAAAGGACATCGGTGTAATCCCAGTGATTACAGCTGTGTCCACCAACGCGAGCACACTGCGTATGCACGAAGATCCACGATCGCCACGAGGCGAGGTCGGTCCGGAGATAACCGACTGGAATCTTCCGTCGCGACTGCCACGCCTGGGAGAGACGAAGAGACATGTTGATCAGGACTTAACATGAACATGGAATTGGTCTTCCAAAGATATAACAACAGGGTATTTGCATAAACTACATGTATTTGTCACGACAAAAGAGAACAGCGACTAATGGCTGTGACACCTGCAATAGCATCAAGCGCTGTATGCTTCAAACAATATCCCATTTACTCAAAACCAGCTTCTCTGCCAGCTGACTACTCCTGTCCTCGAACGAAACACAGACAACGTCGGTTCGGACGATTCCCCCATCCGCTGACTGAGGCGGAGTCGTCTCGGCCTTGTCTGACATGAACGCCGGGGCCGGCCTCTTGTCGCCCGTGAGGATGTTCTCCTGGCTGTCGTCCTCCATGATGGTCAACCCCAGGTCGTCTCGGTGTTTGGGCTTCGGCTTGCGCTGCCCCAGCTCGATCTTGCTACCTCCGCGCGACTCTCTTTGTAAAGCGTAATCCTCGTAGAACTTGGGCGAGTCGTCGGTGGTGTTCTTGGCTGTGCTGAAGGGGTTCCGCCGCAGGATGATCTCAATCAGCGGCTGGAGGACAGGGATCGTAGATGCTATCGTGATCGTGCTCCCTTCAACCCTGCAAAAGCTTAAGTCAGTTCCGTGTGATCGACGGCAGGCCTGAGTAACATCGCGGAGCCGAACAGCCGATGGAGCGGAGATGCACTTACACTGTCCGTATCTGGAGGTCAGAGGTATGGTCTTCGCGAAAGCCAGCCCCAGTTAGCTTGAACCAAATCAAGAAGAGCCGGCAGGGCAGAGACTTACAGGTGAAATCGTTTTCACGTAATAATGGAAGTCGGATAGTCTTGATAATGGCAACCGCGCCACCACTTGACAGATTAGTCAATGGTCAATATTGGAAACGGGGTGTCGTACATTGATCCTACCCCAAGGGCTAAGCTCAAAGCTATTTTCTTCTTCATAGGCATTTGAAGACGGAAGAGAACAACCGTTGGGTACAAAGCCAAGTAAACATCTACAAAAGCCGAAAGAACTGAGTCGCGAGTCAGCGTCAGAACGTTTCATCGTCAATATCAACGACAGGATCAAGTACCTCCGCCATAGATGGAATAAGCAACCGTGATCTCGGGGTCGAAGCAGACCCCTGGGACGGCCTCATCCCAAATTGATTGTACTGGAACGCAGCGGCCAAAATGCAGACCAGGAACCACGATATGTGTAAGTAGACACAAAACGGTGATGCCCCAGAGGAACCAAAGGTGATATCGCGCCGGGTTCATCAACCGCGTCAACAGGGCAACAAGAGCCAACTTGGGGACAGCGAAAGACATGATCCCTGGGGCAAAACCAATATGCGCCCAGAAGATGGCACCTTTCTTCTGCTCATATGAAAGCACTTCCATATGTCGGCCATACCCATAGCTGATAGCCACAGTAGCTGCAGCACATGATGCGAGGATCAAGACCTAAGATGCCAAACACGTCAACAGCGGGTTAACCTTCATGATAACGTACCCAAAACTTACCAGAGATATGATGCAGCAGTAGTCATCGCCGTAAAAGTGCCTTCCAATGCGACGTCTGCACCATACTCGAGCTGAGACAAAAGCTGTCGTCAGGCCAGCCATAGTCCAGCAAACCCATAATATCTCTGGCCCTTTGTCATCGGCTCTCCAGGCATCGGAGCCCTTTACCGACATTGTCGCGTGCACTTGGCAGACTGGCGAATTCGCCCAAGCTCATTCATATGCGGAGCGCTAAGCGCGTCTCCCGGCGACTTCAAAAGGCGGTCTGGAAAATGTGTCAAGAAGAGAAGAGCTCGATAACCGATGAAGGCCAAGTTGAGAGCGTAGAAACCGACAAGAACTCTGGAGCATTGGCAGATAGCCCGCGGGGGACGGCCATCATCATTTTGTTTAGTGGTCACCCGCCCATGACGCTCGAGGACAATGGCATTCTCTTTCAAGTCGCCATGCAGGCCTACACATTCAATCAATACTCACTTTTACCGGCGAGCGTTTGGAAGTGGCAATCACACCGCCGAAAGGGAGCTCCCCGAAGCGAAAGCCAAACAATCGGGTGTGTTTGTCAAGAAGGCCGTTTGAAAGGCGGTTGATGGAATGGTGTGCCCACGCTCCCGAAGGATCCTGCCGAACAACGTGGGAAACGCCGCACACGGTCAGTTTCCTGGCACTTGAGTTGCTGCCTCGTGTATCTGACAGGGTTTATTCGACCGTGCTGCGGAATATGAGAGGTTTACGGACGCAAGAGTTGTGGCTGATTACAAACGGAGACCAAGCAAACAAACAGACCTTGACCCAACGGCGCAGACAAAAGTATTGCACCTTGACCACGTGGGGAATGCCCCGAAGATCTGGGTCTAGGGTATGTGATAAGTCGAAAAATGATGGCGAACAAAGGCTCACCAACACCACACTTCATGTTGTTTTCGAAATCGTCAGCCTCAATTCAGAATTCGAGGACTACCGAGGTAGGTAGGCATGGGCGTTCACGGCAATCAGATCATGAAGCAATGAGATCACAAGGTTCCCATTAGAAGTATGGAAAGAACAGGGCCTTTAGTAAAACAATAGCAACAATGAATCATGGGGTCAGTAAGGTAAGATTACTCCTGAAGGCCGGTGATTTTCTGGTCAGCTTCCGAGCATGAAGCCGGGGCACTATAAAGCCCGTTTGCCCAAGAGGGGTAAGTGCTCCGGTCTTCCTGGCCGAGAAGACCGAAATAGCTGCATGCATACCGAGTTGTTGGGTACAAACATGCACCCCATGCAAGATGAGAACACCAGAACTTCCTTTTCGGTCGTTCCGGTTTGATTTTGCGCTCTCAAGCGTAAGTCGTGCAGGCAAACTGCTGCAACTACAAGTAATGACGCATCGAGAGTCTGGGGGCTTTACCGACCAAATGATCTTTGTCTTGTTGGTGAGATGCCCCCCGGCCGCGAAGCGGATGCTGGCATTCCTGCTTAGCCCTGATTGATCCCGTTGGTGAGAAGGCGGGTGAGTTCAGCTGCCCGTAAGAAACCTTGCGACGTAAGATTGAAGTGATTAAGGTTATGAGAAATAGAATTTGGGAGAGACTTCTGAGCTCGTTGATTGAGCTGTTAGGTGAAGAGTCGTTATGGACGGTTATGAAGTCCAGGATGGTTGATGGGTGAGACGGGGGTAGGCCTTCGACTGCGGGACGTACCTCCACTTTCATGGGCGGTTCACCATACCTTCAAATCGGTATTTCTTGTTTAAACAAGTCAATCATTCGTTCATCGTGTTGAACAATCAACAGTGACCAAAATTGAAGACGTTTTGAAGCATTCAGAGCCACGATCGGCGGACTCGGAGTTAGCCTCCGGCCAAACCCCGAAGGTGGATTCTTACCCCACTTTCGGTGAAGAATCGTCGGTTCCGTTCCATCATGAGACGTCAGACTCACAACCTAGCCTCACCATGCCGCAGCACACGAGGAGCAGAACGGGCTGTTTGACTTGCCGGTAAGAGTGCATCTGCTTTACTATGATTATTGCTGACTGAACATGTTCAGCGACGATGGCTACAAATGCGACGAAGGCAAACCCAGCTGTGGCCGATGTGTCCGCCTCGGCAAGACCTGTAAGGGGTACGGGCTGAGAGTCAGATGGAAGATGGCCGAAGTATCGACAGGTCCTTCCAAGGTCACGAAGAGGCGAAATTCGAAGCCGAAAGGTCTTCCATCGCCTCCGAGAGGATCCTCGTCCTCGTCCTCATCCTCACCCCACGAGTCACGATCCGGATCGAAGTTCGCGAGCCCCATCTCAAGTGGGATGAGCCTCGTCAGAAACCCATCCTACCTTCCAGCAGATGTCTCACCAATGAACCTATTTCTCCTTAACCATTGGAGCTCGTCTCTCGCAAGCGTGATCTCCATGGCGGCCGGCACCCAGAACCCGTTCCTTGTCCATCTCACCCCGATGATGTTCAAGTCCAACGCCCTCCTCTTCTCCATCTCCTCGATGGCAGCCGGGCATCTGGCCGTCCTTCGCAACGATAGTACCCTTCGGACGTTGTCATCCCGTCACATGATCATGGCAGTCTCGTCGCTTCGAGAGTCCATACAGACAGAGAACGCCGAGCTGTCTCTCGCCACCATTCTCATGCTCCAAATCTCGGACAGGTTGTTCAACACCGACAGCCAGATAGACCACCTCGCCGGCGCAAAGGCTGTCATCATGCACTCCGGCGGACCAGGGAACTGGACGAGCTCGAGTGCTCAGTTTCTGCTCAGCCTCTGCTTCTACCACGACGTCATGTCCTCCATCTCCCGGACAGCAAAGCCCTTGCTGAGCATGACCAACGTTGCACCTCTAGAGGGCCTGCAAAGCTTGACCAAACTCACGTCGCTTCTATCAGTCGTCGGGACGATCAGCAAGATGCAGGGACAGTCCGGCCCGGCTCACCAACAACGCGGCTTCAACATTAGGCAGAACCTGCTCAGCATCACCATGTCCGAAGACGGAGATCCAGACATTGAGAACACCATACAGGCATACAAGCATGCTGCTATCGTTTATCTGTACCGGGTGTGGGACGACGGTACTGAGCCGCCAAAGCCGGTGCATGCCGAGCAATGCATTCGTCACTTGCTCAGGGTACCCATCAGCTCATCATTCTGTTCAGCACATGCGTGGCCGCTCTGGACGGCAGGATGCGAGTCGGTCGATCCTCAAAACAGACAGCTCGTGATTGAGCGGATCAAAGAGATGTATCAGAACAGGCACCTCCCGTCGCTCAAGCGGGTCCAACAAGACATGGAAGACGTCTGGGTGGCGAAGGATTCACAGCGTCTACAGTTTGGGACGGAAAATGTGGATTGCTGTAAAGTGATTCTGCATAACCGTCATCGAGAGGCAGACCTGGTCTGATATTTCCGGGATTTCAACAAGTCTTTCACTTCATCTGTTTGACTTCTCTACCTACCGCTTCTGAGGCGTCGCCGACGACTGACCGAGGCCAAGACACGAGGCAATCTTGAAGAACACATCAGTGTTGTCATACACGCCCGCGAACGTCCTCTCGCAAGGACCCATGGCAAACAGCGGCACATCCGTGATGGAATGGACACCCGACGAAGAAGACACAGGCAGCGTCCCCTGCACATAGAACCCATCCTCCCCATCCTCGGGGTTCGCGACGTAGCCATCCTCCGGGTCGCTCACCACCACGCGGCGAGGCGACTCGTGCAGCCGGTAGTTCTCCCTCCGATCGGGGCTGGCGCCGAAACCCGGCGCGATGGCATACCGGGGACTCCAGTTCATGGGGAAGTGCGGTCCGGTCCCGTACTCGATCCCGTCGGGGCGCTCGACCGTGTAGTGCGACAGGCCGGAGCGCTCGTAGATGCCGATGGCGTCGCGCTTCTTGCGATCCGTGTCCTGCGCCGCGAGGTACTTGGTGTCCGCGACGCCGAACACGTCGAAGCCGTGGCCGTGGTCGGCCGTCACGACGATGAGCGTCTGCTCCAGCTCGCCGGCCTCCTTTAGTTTCTTCACCGTGGCGCGGATGGTGTCGTCGAATTCGAGCAGGTCGCCGAGCGCGCGGTCGTAGTCGAGAGCGTGCATTTGCTTATCGATCGACGCGCCCTCGGACATGAGGAAGAAGCCTGTCTCGTTGCTGCGCTCGAGCAGGATGTCGATTGCTTTCAGAGTCATGTCCTTCAACCCCGGAAGGTCGAGCGGCGCGGATCCGTCTCCGGAGGGATGTGTGTCCAGGTCGGCGATATTGTCTGTCAGGATGTTTCTATCGAGCCAGACGGGCAGGTGGGACATGGAGAAGACGCCCAGCGCAGGGGTGTCGACGGGCGCGTCGCGGAGGGAGGTAGCGTTCCAGCTCACGGAATAGCCTTGCTTGCGGAACTCGTCGTAGTAATCTTTGCCGAGGTATGACGATGAACCGGGTAGGAAGGTCGAGGCGCCACCGCCGAAGTAGACGTCAGGTCCGGGGTGGGCGCTCCATGAGTAGTTTGTCATGCCGTTGAGGGCTTGGTCGACTAGGGAGCCCGCGTTGGATCGAGACCTGCTGTGGCCTGTAAGGGCGGCTGGAGTTGCGTCGTCGAGGGCTGCGGTTGTTACTGCTCCCCAAGCAGATCCCTGACGGCTGTTAGTCGGAAGCATCGTTGTCTTTGGAGAGAAGGTTTACCCAGATACGTGTCACCATCTCGACGATAGTCTCAACTTTCGGATCGTCAAAGTCATCCGAGGATGAGTCCGAGTACACACTGTAATGAAAGTCAGCATAGAAGCAGAGTTCCCGTCAGTCTAGTCCACGTACCCCATGGAATCCGATGTTCCCTTGTGTCCTGAGTATAGAGCCGACGCTGAGTTGGCGCTATCCGTTACGAAGCTGTCGACGGAATGCGTCTGACACGAAATCAGTCCAATGCCAAAGCTATCAATTGGGCTCAACTACCCACCATCTGATGCCCCAGAATCGGGAACTCGTCCATCTGCATCCTGGACTGGTATTTGCCATTCACGCTCTTATGACCCAAGAGGCGCGCGGCCGTGATCATGTTCGTAGTCATTCCATCCCCGATGAACATGATCACATTCTTCGCCTTCTTCTCCTCAGCAAGAGGCCTCACAAACCACTCCGCCACCGTCTTCTTCGTGCCGTTATAGTAGCTCAGCTCCACGGTATAATTCCCCGGCTCGTACAGCGAGAGGTCGCGGTACGCCTTCGAGGCGACGTTGACAACGGACCGGTTCCCCGCGTCGGACGCGAACAAGTCCTCGTACCATGAAAACGTCCACGTCTCGAGCCCCGGCTCTTCATCGAGACCGAAGAACTCGGCCACGGACTTGCCGTCGGGCTCGCTGTTGCTCGCGATGGAAAGGGCGAAGCCGGGGTCCGGGACGCCTCCGTTGAAGGCCTCGGTGCCGTTGACGGGGGCGTGGACCTCGACGCGGATGTCGAACTTTTGGCCCGGGAGGAAGTTGGCTTGGTCTGGAGGGAAGACGCAGCCGAGATCGGGGCAGGCGCCGAGACGTTGGAAGGTTTGGGCAAGGGCCAACGGGGCGGATGCCAGGAGGGCCAAGGCGAGGAGGGACATCACGACGGCACGATGGCTAGGAGCTGATCCAAGAGAGCCGAGAGGGAGGAAGGCTTAGCTCGACTTACGGTCGAGGAGCACCAGCTCAGAAAAGGAGCTTCGTGGTCATATACATACACACGCTAGTGATCCTATGTGTCACGACAAAAGACCCATCAACTCTTTCCCCAAGAACGACTAACTGGACATAGAAGGTCGTTGAAGCTGCCGCGCAATCTACATCCCCAGTTTCCGGGGTGTAATGAGGGGATCCATGGAGACAGCCTCCGCTCGACTCTGTAAAGACCCGAATGATCACGACGAACGTGATCGGCGTTGTCCGGAAAACCATTGAAATTCTTCGGTGAGGTGGGGGGAGGACAGGCATTCGTGCGCAGGACGGTTCTTGGCTTGCAGGTTCGGTGCTGCGTACCCCGCTCATGGATCTTGCTCACCCCTCATGGACTGCCGATAAGCACACGAGCAGTTACCAAGTTGGACAGCGTTGTCAGATGTTGGTGTTGGACGGTTTGTGGGTTCGTGCGATGAGGTGAGGAGGGGAGGAGGTCGGCGTGTTGCGGGGTGTGAATTGATGTGTGGTGGCTGGTTAAGTACCTGACGTCTCTCGGCATGAACTTGCTGCGTTACTGTAGGACTCACTTGGATATCCTCAACATGACGTCGACAATTAAGTGAAGGGTTAGGTCGGGTGAATCTGACATTGGTTTTTGTCTTGTCGGTTGATGGAACGTCAATACATGGATCCTGGATCACAGATCCAATCGATTAAGCTTTCATTGCTACTTCATCCCATTTCAATTTCTTGGCTTTGCGAATACGTAGAAAATTATTTGAATTGTTCATTCTTTCCAAAAATCTGGTATCAGATGTGCAGCTGTTTTGTCCTTGTCATCGTAGCTCTGTTTGATACCTTGGGAATACTTCTGGCTCTAGGAATATTCAATGAAATGGACCATCTTCGGAGGCATCTTTGTTTTGAAGACATTTCTCTTCAGCGATAACGCTAAGCACCAATTCGTGTTCGAAACCCGAGATGCCAAGACGAGCGCCGTTTGCCAAGGCCCGTCATATCTCTCGGCATTCATCGCAAGAAACATAAATCACTCACTCCAACGATTTCCTGCCATGAACCATTGCGTCGGGTGCGTTGTATTACCCTAATCACACGTAATGACCCGGTGTAACGAGAGTACACCAACCTCACCTGAACGCCTCAAAACTCTCGTCAGTCACCCATCCAACCATGGTCGTGAGCCCAATCCTAGCAGCATCCAAACAATCCCCCGCCAGCTCCTCTTTCCCGAGCGCAGTGTAAGCCTCGGCCGTCAACTTCAGCGCCTTGATGACCTCAAACGTCGTGACGGCCTGCGTGTCCCTGTACATCCACAGCCTTTCCCCTCGCACAGGCTCCACGAACCCAAAGTTGCGAAAGACCTCGTTCCCCCATTTTACCACCTTGGCCCACTGCTTCCTCGTGTGCCACGCCTCGATCAGCCACATCGTCGGCCACACGAGCATCAACCTGGGCAGGGCGAGTTCATCGTATACCTCAGTCTCGTGAAGGGCGGCGAGCTTATTCGCGAGCCTCTCGATCTGCCGGGTCGTGGCGTCGGGTTGGAACCTGGCCGGGTTCTTCTTCTTGATCGCGCGTTGCAGCTCCGCGAGGATCGAAACTCTCTTCTGGTGCTGCTTCAACGGGGACTTTTGCTCGCCCGCGCAGAGGACGCAGCTGCAGTCGAAGCCCCAGTTCCGGCGGAACTGTGGAGCGCGGAGGAGGTACGCGGCTTTGGGCGGGAGGTAGATGTGTGTGATTTCGGTGTCTTTGGGTATGTCTACCGTCGCTCTGACGATGAGCATGTCTCCGACGAAAGACCTGTTGCAGTTCGGGAGGCATGCGTGGTTGGCGTAGGCCGAGTACACCCACAAGCCACGCGACATGCCGTTCTTCCACATGTTCCAGTCACCGTTGGCGGCCTGTGCCGAAACGTGCGCGCCGCTGAAGCAGTTCTTTCTCCGGATCGACTCGAGGAGGAAGACATCTACGACGGGCTTGCCATCGACATCACTGCCTTCCAGACCGGAGCGCTTGTAAGATCCGCCGTAGAGGTCGAGGACCTTCTTGTGCACTGTGGGATTATCCGCGCAGAGCTCGATGAGCTGGGCGTAGGCCGCTGCTGAATTGTGCTCCGGGTTGAACTCGTTGGGTACGCTGGTGGCCTTCTCCACGAAGACGAGCTCTCCTGCTTTGATATCCTCCGTCGCAAATAGACCTCGCCCGTGGTGTGGGGAGTCTCTCACCTCTGTCCTGGAAACAAAGCTGGCGCGGTCGATGTGGATGTTTTTGGCTGTGGTGTCCTTGGCCATGGCGGCGAAGTCGTAGATGCCTTTCTCTTCTTCAAGCCGCGCCAGACAGCGTTCGTACTCTTTTTGGACATTTGGAATGGGAGGCTTCAGAGCAAGTGCGGATTCATAATAAGCCTTGCTGGGGCCGAAGTTTGTAAGCTCATAAGCTGCTCTTCCTGCGATAAAGTAGGCCTTCCAGTCTGAAGAGCCGCCTCTCGATGCGAGGGCATCAGATAATGCGCTGTCGAAGCACTTCAAAGTGAGATTTAAGCTGGCTCGTTTGCCGAACACCCCAATTTTGAAGTCTTGATCTTCTTCCAGAGCTAATTCCAGAGCTCTTGTGTAGCTAAGATGTCGTTAGCACAACGATGACAAAAGAAGACCGCAGGTACAGACTTTGCCACTGCCATCGGCAGGTCTTTAGACAGGAAGGCCTTGTCTCCAGCGTCTCTCCATCCCATGGCATCGAAGTCCTCAGATTGCCTAAATGGCTCAGGAATCAGTGAGGAATCGGGTCCTTGTCGAAGCCGTACGATATCCGAAGGATGATCAACACAGAGCAGGAACTCGTTGTCGCCGCTGAATCGATAATACGGCTCCTTGACAAGAATTACTATGCCCTCAGGAATTGACTGGAGAATACTGGAGTTGCCTTGGTTGTACAATGATAGCTTGTCGGCATTCCCGTACTCGTCCTCGACCAGAGTGATGGTACCGGCACCAAGGTAGGGCGGGGCAATGGTCTGTAACACCAAGTATCTATCCTCGTGGTGATTCTCCACGAGTAGCTCATCCAGTCGCATCTGCGAGATGTCAGCAAGTCACGCTTTGTTTACTCCCCGTTCGGGCTGGATTACCGGAGAAAGATCCTTGATCGGCTTCGATGATGGGGGATAAGATAGCGCCAAGACGACCTTCTTCACCATCCGTGGGGCCTTATCCTGTCCTGCCTTCCTTTGCTGCTCGACATAATGGTTGTGCATGCGAAGGAGCGTCTCCTTCGGTATTCTAGTTGGTGGTGGTTTGCCGGCATGGGCCTCGGCCTTCTTCAAGAAGTCCAGCGACACATCTGGGTCGACATCGATGAGGATCTCTTCGACGCCAATTTGGAGACCAAAGTCGACGGTGTTCAGAGTCGGATCGGCGGCGGCAGGTGCCTCAACGTCTTCAGTGTTGTCGACGGCCATGGTTGAGAGTTTCGAAGTATCCTCCTCTTGATTCTGAACCAGGTGTAACTGCCAATTCTAAGACCGTTACAGGCGAGGTTGGTTGAAAGCTACGATGAGCCGGTCAGCCTCTGTCAGAACTTATATAACATACGAGGTGAGTGAACGGGCTTGAGGGCCGGAGGATAATATGGAAGCATCGAGCCCTGTCCCGTTAGGTGTCATCTTGATGAAATCGGGTCGTTACCGATTGAGAACGGCACCAAACTGGCTTGGCGCGATCTTGTTGAGACTGCCCAGCCTAATTATGGCGCCAATCGCGAGCATCTCCGTGACCACCGCTCCGATCCCCGCACCGATTCGACCCATCTTTCGGAGTGTGTCAGTCCGCTTGCTCGAACGATGCGACTGCATCACAGCAGATGATCACCCTCCTCGCTTGCACCCGCGTCAACGCGATTGGCTGCCAGCGATGGCATGTTAGAACGTTCATAGGTCTCGCCTGAAGTTGAACAACCGATTTGGGACGGCAAAATGTCAACGGTATTGTCCTTTTTTTCTGACGTGTTTTAACTCGGAAGCAAGAGTGACATTCTGACAAGTTCGATTCCTTCAATACGTTCCCTGAAGCCATGTGACCATATATCTTCATGGTCAATTCCTTCCCACAATATCTGATCTCAATGCAAATCGGCAAACATGAAGTTAACTGTCCGATGATTGCCGTCCATATTTCCAACACCGCTTGCCTCTCCCCGGATGCTCAGAAGGCAATCATGCGACGAGGATCGACAACTTGCTCGACATGCTGCTGCACGGCGTTGAAGCGCATGTAATTGCAACTTTCGCTCTCGAGATGGTTGATGACGGCCGCCAAGGTGGTGAACTCTTTGCCGCAACGCCGGTTGGGGCAATGATAAAGATTCTGCTTGTGCGCAGGAGAGTTGAGGTGCTGGTTCAGATACTCGAGTTTGTTGAAATGACGGTGGCAGAGGTAGCACTCGTAGGCGCGGTGCTTCGGGTTCCAGGTCTTCTCGGTTGCCGTGAAGGTCAAGGTGCCATTCCACTCGAGGAGCTTCTTGGAAAGAACACCGTTGGGGTCACGGCTACGGACAGCCTCGTAGAGCTTCTCACGGTTGAGGGGGGCATTCGGGCAGCTGCCATGCTCGAGGTGATGGATCAGACCAGTCGCGGTGGCACAAGTCTTCTTGCAGAAAGGGCACATGATGGTGGACGTGCGATGGATACTGGAGTTCAGGTGCTGTGGGCGTCAGTGAATCGGATGTGGCTATCAGCTGGAGGAACTGCAAATACCTGGTTCAGGTTGTTCCGGTTCTGAAAGTAACGATCGCAAAGATTGCATTTGAAGTGTTGCTCATGCTCGTGTTGGCGCAGATCACCCTCTTCGTAGAATGCCGAGTCGCAATCGTCGCATTCCCAGTCAAGGCTGTCTTCAGAGTCAGAGTCGGCCCAGTGGTTGAGGGCATTCATATGCTGCTCCACAGCGCCCTGGCTGTGGAAGTAACGGTCGCAGGTCTCGCACTCGAAGTCTGGAATGTCGTGGCCGGTCGCATCGAGGTGCTGTTGGCGAGACTGCCATCCGGCCGGAAACTCGCGCCAGCAGTCGCCGCACGTAAAGGTCATGTTGACAGCGGGATGTGATTGATCGATGATGGGAAGGGAGACAAATTAGATAAGAAGCATGGCCTTCCGAGTAAGACGACGTGGAATATTTTTTTGGATGCAGGCGCTGGAGAGATAGAGAGAGGAAAAGAAAAAGATGAAAACTTTTCGTGATGTGGTTAGAAGACACCACGAAGGAAGGAAGGTGTGCGAGAAGGTGCGGTGCAGGTGCTTTTTGCCAGACAACTTCCTTCCGTTTGGAGACTTCTCTTCAGGAAGCCAAGGACAGTGAGGAGGCTGTGAATCTGCCACTTGTGACTTTTTTTAAAAGAATAAAGGAAGTAATCCTTGTCGTCGAGGTCTTCGAGATCTCGCGACCTTTTTTGAGGTATCGTGTTCAGTCCGTCGTATGCCAGGTTGCTGCATGGCATTGGCAGCGGTCATAGTCCGTATATCCGATGCCATAAAGAATCAGGCATCCGAAGCCTATGTGGAAGTCGTAATTGTATGAAGCTCCGAGTCTGTCACGTCGTTCTCAAACTGAACGAGGTCTCTGGTAGGCTTCAGCTTCGGTCTCTCGACGATCCGCGATACTCGGTGTTGTTCCAGGACCAATTGTCTCTTTCTCTGGCCGGCGGAAGTCACCCATCCCCAAGTCAAAATCGTGGCTTGCAGCATCGTCTTTTTGGTACTCCGAAATCCAACGCGAAAGTTGTTTCATAACCTCCTCGATCTCCTCAATCTCCATAGGCTTGGTCGAGTTGTACAGCAACTCGGATGCTATGTCTTTTGGCAGAGCCTGCTTTCGTCCGACCCAGTCCCCGAACCAGTCTCCTAGCATCTCCGCGATAGCGACGCAGAGGCTCGTGACCCCGGTGATGAGTGCGATCATCTGTCCGCTCGACTCCAAGATGCCGTCTGTCGACAGATGGTTCGTCCGTATCATGGTCTCCACGGAGGATATGGCGATGATAGGTCCAGCCAGGTTGATCAGGAAAAACTGCAAGAGCAGCAATAGGTCTCCGGCGCGGAACCGTAAGAACCATTTCTCGTTCCTTGCGCCAGGGAGATTCGGTCTCAGTAGTCCTTGCAACGCTAGCATGATCTGCGTTGGGGCCCCCGAAGCAAAACTGAGCGACCTCGCGATGTACGTTACAGGTCGCCTCGAGACCTGGCCGCTCCAGAAGCCGGCGAGATGAATCACAAAGAACAGCCCAAAGATGATGCCAAGACCGACGGAGAAGACGGCTGCGAAGACTTTCCATCGCGAGTTGTTCAGGTCGAAAGCCCCGATTACCGCCGCTCTGGCGCCACATGCTGGCTCTTCTGCCATCCGCACTCCACGGATCCAGAACCAACCTCCAAAGACGCTCGCGGTTGCAAAAAGGAGATTTTGAAATAAGAGTGGCAGATCTGGCTTCAGGACGTAGAGGAAGCCCTCGTTGTTGGCATTTTCCTTGGTCAAGAGGTTGTAGGATTCGGCATAGAAGAGCGCGATGGTGAGGTAGTAGACGATGAGAAAGTCCGTACTGAGCGACAAGCCGCGAGAGGTGTTGATCATGGTCGCTAACATGAGAGACAGGCCGAGTGCGTTGTTGGCCATTCTCACGGCCGAGATGGTCCTCCAGGAGCCGCTAAAGTTGCGCAACAGAAACCCGGCGGCCCATTGAAAGTAGAGGCCGAGGCGGACGCCAATGCCATACAGATCGCCGTTACCCTCGGTGAGGCAGTCCATCGTGACCGATGTTACGATGGGGGCGTTATCAGGCCGATGTTGGGACAGGAACTCTGAGTGATGAGCATGTCGTTGGTTCACGCGGGGTTGATAATTCTGACACCTCAAGTAGCCGCAGTGACTCGGAGGTTAAGATACGCTTCCCATAAGCAATCTGTCATTCGCTGAAAGTCGTGATGACAGGGGCTTACCGTCTTTAATTCGCTCATTGCCATGCTGGCGTCCTTCGCTTGATAAGAAGCAAGTTCTTCGACGGAGGGTAATGTGAAGTGTCAGGGCACTTCCGTGTAGTAATACCGAATGAGCATTTCTATCGATAAGAAAAATGAGTTTCCGAGCTATTGAGAGGTTAGATAGTATGTATATAAATGAGATTTGCATCTGAAGTGAGATCTCATATGAGATTCATGAGATGAGATGAGATTTACTCAATCACCACTACTGATTGACCCCTGTCTACTCAGCCAACCAGCCTATGAAATCCTTGTTAGCATCCTGGGAAAGCCACTGCTGGTCACCTATGAAAAGGGCTGTTTCTGCATCTTCCCGCACCACCTTCTCGAAATAGAGAGCCACTCACCAATAGTTTCGCACGGGCAGAGCAGATATGCTGCACTGTCAAGTGAGGCGGGGTGGAGGGGGACCAAACGCGTCGCGTGAATTTCTGGCAGGCAGCAAACCGTGAATACCCCTCGTGAGTCTTCACCGCAATAACAACCTGTTGTGTTGTTTATCTGCTGGACTTCCGTCGCTTTTCCAACTTGGCTTCTCATCTACTCGACCCCTCATCAAGCCAACTTACCCCGCCCACGCGCAAGTTGAGATCATGTCGGAACTTCCTCTGCAGAAACCCCTCAATTGCACGTACCAGATTGGCGATGTCGTCCTGGGACTCACCCAGTACTATCTGACCCTCACACGAGCAGCCTACATTCCAGCAACATACGTCGACTTCCCTCCCGCGGAAGGCTGGACCGACGCCGAGCTCGACGTCGGCGCCCTCCGCGCCCTGCGCCGATCCGAGACGGTCATCAACTTGCTGCGCCATCTCCCCTACCCCAGACCGATGCACGATGGGCCTCGTCCCGGGCCGTGGAACGTCGCCCCCAAGACCAAAGCCGTGCGCTACCTCCGTCATCTCGGCGACTTCAGCAAGTGGTCTGACCGCGGCGACGCGGGACTCCTCGAGCTGGCCGCTCTCCCCTTCAGCCAGACCCCGGCGGGGCCGATGGACCTGCCGCCGGACGTGATCAACCTCACCTACGGCGAGCGCGTGGGGGCGGTGACTCCGTGGTCGGGACCGTACTGGTGGATCGTGGACTGCAGCCGCGGCATCCTGTCGCCCTTCCAAGAGAACAGCTACGGCGTCGCCAAGGTCCCCCGCAACAAGCCGTGGCGGACCGCCCAGTCGTATGCCGTCGCCGATTTCTTCGCCCAGCTCATCCCGGAGATCGGAGTGAACTGGCTCCCGCTGCCGCCGACCGAAGAGCTCGACGCCGAGGTCCTGGAGCCGTTCTCGGAGCCCACGAACCTGCCGCACCCCTCGGAGATCTACAGCCAGCACGGTTGGCCGGGCGAGGGCTTCCGCCATGAAGAGTGCATCGTCGCGCTGCAGAACTACCGCAGGCAGCTGCTGGAACAACAGCGCAAGGAGGAGGATGACGATGCGGACGACGAGGATTTCGAGATGGAGGACAGCGATAATGAGATGGAGGAGGGAGCCTCGGGGTTGGAGGATGCCATGGCTGATGTGAATGTGGAAGTGGAAGACCTCGCCGCCGAGGCCGCTGCTTTGCACGCCGACATTCACTCTGATGAGTGGAAGAAGTTCAAGCAACAGCACGACCAGTGGCAGGTGCCGTTCGAGTGGGTTGACTCTGAATAGAGCAGAAGATGAGAAACGAAAATCTTGCGGACACGTACGACTGAAGAGTGAGGGTAAATCATGGACATAATACACAAAAGGGTACCGGTTTACTACCCCCCGAGCAAACCTCTGCGAAATCTAGATGTTACATATTACTTGAATTCTAGGTTTTCCTTAAGTGAGTTCATGGGCGGAAACCTTTGAAGATTCCAGTCCCCACTACATTTGTGTCCGCCGCTCTCTCGGCCCCACACGGAGCCGAAGGCCGACCATCTTCCGGTAGCACCCCAGAAGGGTTCTTCGTGATGCACTCTTACGTAGACGATTCACAGCAAGTTAAATATACCTATTATTCATTATACGTAATAACCCATACGAATTACTCATGTAAACGACAGAATTTGTTCCTAATCACACTCCAATGCTCACTGTTCATATGACCCATGGGTTCGGTTAACCTCAGATTGTCTTGATGGTACAGGACCTTTCGATTGTTTTATGATGATGTAGTTTCAGAATCATAGTATGTACTCTAACCTGCCATCCTTTTCGGTTCTCTTGGGTGTAGTGTGCAACAGTCGCCAGCGTATCTGCTCCAAGACAACACTTGCCTCACAGGGCCCTCCGCATGGACTCTCTCGTACTGAGGACATGACACCACGAAATTTCGCCGTCGAAGAGTGATACATGAGGATTTACTTGTAGTATCAAATCCATTACCGTAAGAAACGGCCATGTTCAGACCGAGCTATCGGTCCCAAGTCAACCCTCCATCTCGTCAATATGTAGGGTCGGCTCGTCCCCGATGACACCCACATCTTGACTATCAAAAGCTCCAATGACAGTAATTGAAAGCCAGTTCTAGAAATAATTGGTCCTCATATCCCCCATTCCAGTGGCCGTGCACTGTCACCAACGGCCAAGCTACATATTATGACACATGTCAGACAGTCCGTGGGAGGCCTCGGTTTCGCGAACGGCGTCTGTCGGGCTCTGCTTCGCGAGCTTTGAAGGAAATACGGGCTCCACAACGTCAAGATAAAGGAATGTACCAAGCTCCCGAGATACTCACATTGTTTAAACGTTTCCGGAGTGTGTTCCCGGGGAGCAAGACCGATGCCATGCTCGGGGAGACCCGCCGATCGCCCCTTTGCCTCAAACTAGCAATGCAGGGGAAGAAAAGCGACAGGCGGTAAAGTTGGGCAAACCTTGCAACGACACACATCACTTTCTGCATCTCGGCACTCGGCGCGCTGGTTGCTTTACGTCCTCGCAGGATATTGGTCTGATCGTTGGTTATGTGCGGCAGCAGAGTTTACTACGGCGCTAATGTCGGCGAATATTGCACATACATGTCGACTACAATCCTTACAATCATATCTCCCCGACGGCAACAGAGTCCGCAACGATGATTAGTGAACGTGGCTGCCATTCCAATCTCATCGTTCTCCCCGAGAGGCTTTCAACTTGCTTCGCTCAGATCAGCTAGATGAGCTTCACGGGCAAGTCAACATGGACTCCCCCACGCTTGATATTGGCAGCCCTACCCTCGTTTGCGCGGTTGGGGCGTACGAACGCCTCGCACGGCACGTAAGTTTCTTTCCCTGTACGAGTAGAAAATCACAGCATGGTTATGCCATGGACTTTGGTTACTAGACGAAGCCTGACAGCTGGCCCAGTTGAATACGGTTGGTCGCGCAATATTTTACATTGAGAATTTGGCAAGTGCCCAGTCTAAAACCCTGGCACAATCGCTGATCCCTCCCTCCTCGTACTCCCAGCAATTCGACAGGATCTCCTTCTGCGCCAAGATTGTTCTCTTCCAGTTCTGAGGATACACCATCCTAGTCGGCACGTTCAGGGATGGGATGCTTTGTGCCCTCTCCGCCGCCGTCAGGATCAAGGAACAAGTTACGAACCCCCTAAGCTGCAACCACAGTCCGTGGTGAGGAGTAGAGGACGTGGCCTGGATTCTGAACAGGCAGTACTGAAGCCCTCGAGAGGCTATTTCCGCAACTCTCGTGACCATGTGCTCCGGTACAGTGATTCCGATGGAAATGGTCGAGGCTAGTCGCACAAACGGTCGACAGAGCATTTCCCGCATGACGAGGTACCGTCCGCGAAGCATGTGACACAGATCATCTACCAGCGGTGCAATCTCTCCGTTCGGGATTTGAAAAGAGATCGGGGGTGGTAGAGACTCGTACCAGTCAGTTAGTTGCGCGTCAAAGACCTCGAAAACTTCGAGCATCCGGTCTATGCCGTGCTCCGTGGGATGCGGAGGAGACCGCTTTTGAGCTTGGACTATGCGATTCATGAGATGTCTCGCGGCGATTTCGGCGAGATAGTAGTACCAGGATCGTTGCTCCATCATCAACGCCTTGTTGTCCAGATTCATGACGCCGAGCGTTGGAGGGGACGGGAAGTTGTATGGGTATTCTACGCCTGCCAGGATCGAACCGGGAAGAGAGAGCTCGAACGCCAGCTCGCTGCAGGGAATCAGCTTCTCGATGTGGTGTCTGTCATCTTGAATCGACTTACCAGTCTGACTTGAAGCATGTGAAGTACAGAATCTGCTCTAGTGACAGTGACTGAGGATAGTCTGGTGTTGACTCGGCTTTTCCGGGCTGCAGCTTCATTCTAGAACATGTCCGTTAGCCTGGGGAGACCCCAGCATCGTGAGATCCTCGCCAAGTCCTTACCTGGTCGTGAGCGAGGTAGTGTACCACGTGTTGCTCGCCATACTGAAACATTTCCAAGCCTGTAAGGGATCCATGTTGTACATGTGCCATATCCTGCCCTTGTCAGCCCTGAAGCCCATGGAAACATCATCTTCACTCGGGAGCGGCCACATACCCTGCAAGACATAGACACTGTACCGACTCCCACCCAGGCTGACCCATGGAAAAGCCCAGCCTCTTCTCCGCGACAGACCAGTACCTGGAAGCCAGATGACGGTTGGGTTCCACCGAATAGCCGCGCGGGGTCCCGCTGGGTGTTCTCTGCCCCGGTCTTTGCGATATGGCCCCGAGAGCGCACGTAAGCGCGACGAGGCACGTCGTGGCTGACCAGTCAGGGCCGTTCTCGGCGACTTGCTTCAACATCTGGCGGAGCATGGGCACGTCGATGACAGGGTTCATGGGGTGGACATTCGCTAAGAACAGATCTACCAGCCTGGAGAGCTCGTAGAACTCCATGGCTGGTGGTGATCTCGGGGAGAACACTTCTCCACGAGGGGAGGCATGACTAAAGGGATCTATCGCAAAGGGTACTGGTTTGGGAAATATGGGCCATTCGAGTACCGAGTCCAGCCCGGCTGTGTCCGAAAGCAAAGGATGGCCCGACCTCTTGGATCCATCGGGGTTGCTGCTATCATGGCCAGAAAGAAGTCCCAAGTTCTCTTGACGTCCAGCATGGGCTGGCGGACTGTCTGGGTAGTCGCTGGAGTCACGAGACAGATCGCGGCTGAGCTGAGGGATGGCCCGAAAGTTCTCTTCGTTCCGTTGTATGAGGTTGGTCAAGTTCTCTATTGCACCTAAAAGTCGTGGCCCAACGCCTTGGCATCTGACGACCGGTCACAACCCATTAGTGGCAGTCCGATATATCCCACCTCGCTCAGCCCCCGACGATGGGGGAACGGCGGGTGCCGGACAAGGTTTTTCTCGACCGAACGCGAGCAAGTCCAACTTACAATGACATGGCCGGGGCCGAGTCTTCAATGTAGTTACACGTAGCGCCGACTCTCCGGCAGTAGCCGCATATAGGGCGCTCGTTATCGCATTTTGTCTTGCGTCCGCGACAGGTCTGGCAGGCGGATGACGCGCGCGACCACGTCCTCTGCTTCGGTATCCTGGGGTCAGCTTGCTCGACGTGCGCTTGATCGACGCCAGGGCGCATCATGGGAGGCGAGCCGCCGCCGCCGCCGCCGACGCCGGAGGACATATGCCCCATGTCGGGGAGAACCCGACCGCCGGCATCCATCCTCATCCTCTTCGGCGGTGGGTCCATTGCGACGATAGATGGCCGGTTGGAACCTCGTTTTTCGGAAGCATCATGTGTCGGGGAGAGGAGCGACGGAAACTTGAGGGGGAATGGGGATCTCGAGTTTAATTATCATGCAGCACTGATCTCCCGACTCCTCCGCAGAACCGTTTCAGAACCTGCGCAATGGCCTCGGGGAGCTTTTGGGTTCGCGGATTTCTACTGCGACTAGCTAATGTCTATGTCATTGAGTCTGAGCACACCCCGTTGGGTTCTCGGGGACGGTCCCCGGTGAACGTTCCAGAAAACGTCTTTCCATCGGGCCGCTACCCGTCGGTGTGTGCTTCCTCTTCACCTTGGCCGTGGTCGGTCATGAACCTTCACCGAGCCTCAGATCCCGTGGACGGCGGCGCGACGGCGTTAATGCCGTTTACATTCCTAGTCTGCTTGGCGTTCATCCCAGCGGACCTGTCATCCGACTCCCGAGTTCCGTCAAGCCCATCCACCAGGACTATGGGTCAGCCACCTCAAACGAACCAGCGCGAGAAGTTGGGGAAGAATCCACTGCCCGTGGGGAAATAACAGACATTATGGGGATTGACTGGGGTAGACAAGGGCGCGGCGGCGGGAGCAGACACTCTTTATGGCATCCCAAGGTACGACGGTGACTCTCCCCGTTCAGCATATATCACTCCTGAGCCTGTCCTCTTCGAGCGGCGCGGAGCTGATCTTTCGGCTCGGCGACTTCACTGACCAGAAAGTCGATCGCAACAAGAGCGAAGCGTCGACAATTCCAAGTCACAATCTCAGTGCAGCCCGACCAAACTCAAGATGGGCTTCCTCAAGTCGAAAGCTGACAAGAAGACGGCCGAGCAGGCCGTCGGATCAGACTTAGCAGCAGTATGTCCTCAGTCATTTACGCCCATCAGACTATGCCGACTCCAGACGACACGTCTTGAAGTTTCTGCCACGATGAACTCTAACATCGGCTCAAGGTCCTGCCCGAAAACCCTGCACCATGGTACCGCACTAGACATTTGCTTCTGCTGAACCTGACTCTGCTGGTTCCGATGTTTTCGTCAGCTTCGGTTGGCTTCGACGGCGCCATGATGGTATGTCATCTTGTCCATCAACCATGCCATCTGATGCTGGCGACCCTTGATGTTGATACTGACCCCCGGCAGAACGGACTTCAGACAATCGAACAATGGCGCGGCTACTTTGGTCACCCAAGCCCACCGATTCTTGGGACGATGAACGCCGTCTAGTGAGACCATCCCGCGAAGAAACCCCATCACGTCGACTCCGCTAACAGTACACCCGAGCCCGATCGGCAAGATCATGGGTCTTATCCCGACAACCTGGATGGCAGACAAGTATGGTAGAAAGTCGCCCATGTGGGTTGGGTTCTTCCTCCTCCTCCTGGGTGCTGCTCTCCAGGGCGCCAGTGTCAGCCTGCCCATGTTCATCGTCTCGCGTTGGCTCCTCGGTGCCGCGACTGCTTTCATCGCGCAGCCCGCGCCGATCCTCGTCACCGAGCTTGCCTACCCGACCCAGCGCGGCAAGATCAGTGCGCTCTATAACACATTCTTCTTCTTCGGGGCTATCCTCGCAGCTTGGTCTACATGTAAGTCCAAAGTTTATAGACTCGCAATCACTCCTTTCTAACAGTACGCCTTTGCAGATGGAACTTTCCGTCTCCCCTCGACATGGAGTTGGAGAATCCCGTCGATATTGCAGGGTGCCCTCCCCGCGATTCAGTGCGCGTTCTTCTACTTCGTGCCCGAGTCACCAAGATGGCTAGTCGCCAATGGCAAGACTGAAGTTGCACGAGAGGTTATTACCCGCTACCACGCCGGCGGTGACTCGTCTGCGCCACTCGTCGACTATGAGATCAAGGAGATCGAGGAGAACCTCCGCATCGAAATGGAGGCTTCCAAGGAGTCTTCTTACCTGGATCTCGTCAAGACTGCGCCCAACCGTCGCCGTACACTTATTGTCATGATCATTGGCCTTGGTGCTCAATGGGTAAGTTTACGGGTGTCCTCTAACTACCAATGAGTAAATATAACTAACGATGGAACAGGCTGGCAATGGCGTTATCTCATACTATCTAACACTGGTGCTCAACACGGTGGGAATCACGGCAACCAAGGATCAGGCCCTCATCAACGGCCTCCTGCAGTTGTTCAACTGGTTCGCGGCCGTGTTCGCCGGTGCCATGATGGTCGACCGTCTCGGCCGCCGCAAGCTCTTCCTGATCTCGACCGCAGGCATGCTGGTCTGCTACGTCATCTGGACCGTCCTTACCAGCGTGTTCGCGAGGACGAAAGACGAGAAGGCCGGATACACCGTGGTGGCTTTCATCTTCATCTACTACTTCTTCTACGACATCGCCTGGTCTCCTCTCCTCATGGCTTATCCGGTCGAGATTATGCCGTACACCCTCCGCGGCAGGGGACTGACCATTTCGTTGGGATCTACTTTCGTGGGTCTCATCATCGGACAGTTCGTCAACCCCATCGGCATGGCTAACCTGGGCTGGATGTACTACATTGTCTTCTGCTGTATCTTGGCGATTCTCTTCGTCCTCATCTTCTTCCTCTTCCCAGAAACCAAGGGGCGGACGTTGGAGCAGATCGCTGAGGTCTTTGATGGCAAGAGACATGCGCTTGGTGATATCAACGTCGGAAGAGAGAAGCTGGAGGATGATTTCGTGGAGGTGGAGAATGTCACAGACAGGAAGGCTTGAGAAACTCCTCAGAGATCGTCTTACCGTCACCCGTCTTAGAACAAATCATTCATCTCCACCCGTAACACAGATATATGTATCTGCCTACTGACTGATATGCCGTCAAGTGCCAAAAGGTCTCGACATTGAGGTATGCGAAAGCCAACTAATCACGTTACGGGACGGGCTCAACGATGACTACGTTGAGTTTGCTTCCGCAATCATGTAAACGAACCTTATGAAGATTCGTTTTAGTCGGACGTCCATTGACTGGGTGTGGTTGAATTATCTCTCGAGCAAATGATCCATGACATTTCGTCATGCTTCTCAGGTTCTCTGGCCAAAGCAGACGCCGTCTGCCCAACGCGCAGTACTCCACTTTGAACAATCCCTGCATCCGCCCCTTTGTGCATCGGGAGGCAAACGCTGCATGATAATCGGGGCGAAAGGGCCAATCAAGTCAAGACATCGACGGGCTTTGGGTATAACCGGCTTGAATCCTGCGTCGGAAGCTTTTGTGACATCTTGGTCAGCTTGGCAACATGCGGCAGGAGGGCCGTTCAATGGGAAGACACGAGAAAATAAGCAAATGGTTGGGTGTGCTTCCGGAGTCAGTTAGCATCCCCGGACATGACTCGGAAAACATCCGAAGGAACCAGATGAACAAATCAGAAATCCTTCCGCATTCCGTGCTCCGCCAAAAACGTGTCTCCGAACGCCGCTAATCCGCTTCCAATCTTCGACCATTCTCCAGATCGTCTCGGAACTCGGCCGCCTTCCAAGACACACACCTTTCTCCATCCAAACATTCCAGCCCGAACTTTGCTTATTCTCCGCAATCTCATATCTTACTCGACGCGTTCTGTCCGAGATCCATGGTCTCGTGGCTTCCGAGACACTCAAGCCATCGTTCCGAGCCTTTCAATCGTCCGAGGAGGGGCTTCCGGCAAGGGGCATACCTCCCCCGCGTTTGTGCGCCCGCTGCCGCCTGCAAGAGGCCGGCCGACCTACGGCTGAGATGGAGAAAATAATGGAGCCCAAGCCGAAGCGGATCAAGATCGATGTGGCATGCGAGGCATGTCGGAGGAGGAAAGTGAAGTGCGACGGGGCGCGCCCAGGTGAGTGATTGGTGAGCGGGCTTCCGCTGAGAAGAAGACGGCTCTGATTCTTGGCTATATCGTTTTTGTAAATGCGCAATCAAGAGAAGAAGTCTTCTCGAACCTCTCATAGCAGGCCCATGCTTGATGTATCGAGTGAACCAAATGCTAACTTCGGTGTACAGCATGCGGCAACTGTTGGAAAAGGACGGACCTGAGAAACGGATGTTCTTACAGCTCCGAACCTGAGAAGCCGCTTGCCAGGGAGCAAATAACGGACAGCGGCACCGACACCCCCATGAGAGCGCTGCGTAAGATCACGCATAGTCCCGAGGCGAACTTTGCGCAACCTCCCTTGCCTCCTGTAGCTCGGCCAACCGCAACTCCCAAGTCTACCACTTCATCCGGTCCAGACCCAACAAGACGCAGCAGGATGGACCGACATCCTATCACACCGTCGGATGCGTCGCCGTCGGTCGTTGACTCCATGACCACTGTCCGCGAGGATGGTACGGTGACCGGCGAGTACTTTGGCAGCAGCAGTGCAGGCTCCTTCACAAACCAGATCAAGGCTGCGATTGATGCGCGCCTGGGTTCGGCAACGGAGACCAGGGGCTCAAGAAGCTCTCTTTTCAAGCCATCCCTCCCGTTGAGTGGCGAAGGCCCAGGAGGCCAGGTTGACTACGTCTTGCCCGCCCGTAAGCAAGCTGATCATTTGATGGATCTCTACTGGTACTATGTCGACCCGTTGTACCCCTTCTTAGACCGTCAGCGATTCGAGCATTGCTATCATGCCCTCTTTGCCGGGACATCTCTCGATGCTGACGAACGAATCTTCGTGAGCATCCTCAACATCATATTCGCTCTTGCTACCCAGTTGATTGAGTCGATGCCGCCCGAGCAAAGAGACTCTTCCAGCCAAGGGTATTTCACTCGAGCTCAGGACTTACTACAGCTGAGCCTATGGGACACGGGCTCCATTGAACTGATACAGTGTCTACTCATCATGAGCCAGTACCTTCAGAGTACTAATAACCCTCATCAAACTTGGATGATTGTCGGTTCTTGCGTTCGGATTGCCCAGGGGTTAGGTCTTCATCTTCCCGAAACCGCCTTGGAGATTTCGAGTGAATCGGAGAGGGATCTGGTCAGGCGGATTTGGCATGGCTGCATCCTGATGGACCGGTGAGATACACCCTCATCCAGCGACAAAGTATCTCTCTGTTGTGACTGACGGCGACTTCTCAGCATGATTGCTATTACACATGGCCGCCCAGCAATGATCTCGGACCAACTTGCATCAACCGTAGTCCTACCCTCAATACCAGATTCAAATGAGCAAGGAGATGACGGGGTACGAACACATCGCCTAAGGTATCAAGGCTTCTTCGTTAAGTCATTAGAACTGTACGAGATCATAAACCAAGTAGTGTTGGCATTCTACACAACCACATCTGGCTTGAAATCCCCCACGGCGCCACATCATCTGGGCCAGAGTTTTCAAGCGCGGCATGAACTGGACCTTGGCACCGCTCTGCAGCTCGACCAGCGACTCACGAGATGGGAGAAGGGCCTTCCTACTTTCTTGACCATGGCTGAGCCGGAGACGCAACTGGGCGAGGTTTTCCGGCGGCAGGCTGTCATCATGCGGATAAGGTGAGTGCTGTCACGTCGCTTACGGTAAGGGTATCATGGGCTGATTGATTCATGTCTAGACTGCTCCATGCGCGAATGCTGCTCTTAAGACCTATGCTTGCTCGCTTTTGTCTCTCCGAATCATCTCCGACGCACGATGATCTTTCGTCTCGGGTCATGCAACAATGCGCGATGGTATGCGTTGAAGCCGCTCAAAATCTCATCTCGGTCATCGTGCAATTTCAAAAGCACGACGGCACACTCGGCCTCCTTCCCGCTTGGTGGTATCGAGTATTTTACATCTACACCGCAGCCACTGTACTCATCGCCGCAAGATTACGGCCAGCAGTATTCTCATCACTCGACATCTCTAGGTCATGGAACCAGGGAATGGCTCTGCTCAAAGACCACGAGAACTTGGGCCCATCTCCGCGAAGATGTGCCGCAGCTCTTCAGATCCTGTCTACAAAGATGTTTCAAGAACAGCCTCAGTCGACGGCACTGCCAAACTCGGAGACAGATCCGGCCGCTCCGAATATTATCAACGATCAGGAGACGTTCGACATGCCTTTCCCATACCTGGGACAGGATGCGACGTTCGACATGGACGCAATCTCATTCGATGTCAACGACTTTTCTTGGCTAAATAGTATGCCAGGAAGTCTATAAACTGATATGCGTGGCTTTGGACAACGTTTCATGTAACTCTAATCATTGAAATACCCGGCCTTGAGGCCACCAATGTACGTTGCGTTGCAGTATCATCACCGGACCTCCATTCTTAGGCATATGGCATTACTCGAAGACCATCTTGTTCTTTACACCACCAAGCTTGCTTATCCTTACCTCAACAACATCACCATCGTTCAGGTACTTAGGCGGCTTCATGCCCATGGCAACTCCCGATGGCGTTCCAGTCAGGATAACGGTTCCGGGCTCGAGCGTCGTACCCTGGCTGCAGAAGCTGACGATTTCCTCGACACCGAAGAGCAGGTCACCCGTGCTCTCATGTTGCCTCTCCTCTCCGTTGACAAAAGTCTGCAAAAGAAGATCGCTTGCGTTTCCAACGACAGAGGGAGACACCAGCATCGGGCTCAACGGGGCGAACTTGTCGAATCCCTTGCTGAAGCACCATTGGGGAACACCTCCGGCCTTGGCGGAGTCTCTTTGCCATGCTCTCGCCGAGACGTCGTTTGCAGTGAGGTAACCGGCGACGTACTCCAAAGCTTTCTCCTTGGCGACATTCTTTGCCGGCTTGCCAATTACGAATGCCTGGCATGGTCAGCTTGAGATTCGTTCTTGGGGCTGCTTGTGACATGGACTTACCAGCTCGCCTTCGTAGTCGACCGTACCGTCTTGGGCAACCTTTGGAATAGGCACATCCTCATTATAAGAGGCGACTGATGTCGCGGGCTTAATGAATACTGATGGGTACGGTGGTGGTGTACGGCCGCCCTCCTTGACTGTTGCTGAGCTTAGCTTGCCACGCTCCTTAGGCTTCATAACAAGTCCACTCACTATGCTTGACATAATTCAACCCGATGCATCTGATAATAGGCACATCTTTCGGTGCAAGGAGAGGTCGCAAAGCCTTGACATGGACACGGTCACCCTTGGTGAGGGGCGAGACAGGACTGGCACCATCGAGAGCGACGGCCCACAGCTCATTCTTCTCAAGAAGCTCGGTGAGCTGCGTCTCGTTCTGGATCTCGGGCTCGCCAAAGTGCTCGACGTCGTTGTCGTCGACGAAACGGATAAGACGCTGAAACGACATGATGGGCGGGTATGTAACTGAAAATAAACAGCTTTCTATTTCGGCAACATCAAACCTGTTCTAGATAACTTGGACCTTTAATGTGCGTGTCGCCGAGATGACCACGATGTTCCCCTCATGGGTCCATATCAGCTCAATCCCCTTGGTCAGCCAATCATGAGGTGTTCCGGTTAGCGTGGCCGGGGATTTGTGCGACGCATCGGAACTCGGAATTGCATCAACTACCTGCACCGGACCCGTCCCGCGCGGGGCGCCGTCGCACGGGATGAACGCGGGCAGGGGGGCTCAAGAATCCGGGGGTAACGGGGAAACGCTCTTTGATAATCTCCCGTTTCTCCAACGTCCAACTTCATTTCACCAACTACGCCTCTTCAATCGAGAACGCATTCAGCATCCATCTGCAATCAAGTTCACTTCTTTAAAACGTCGAACGTCTGATCTCACACGTATCCAACACTCCAGTACACTTGTCGCCATGGACTCACCTCACGAGGATGACCATCAGGCCAAGGCCATGAACGACTACTTGGAGCAGCTCCCGGCCCAGCATTTGGAGCCGCTGTGGTCCCAGATGAACGTTATGGTGCCTCCTACGCCTCAACCAGTAGCGCGGCCTCACATCTGGAAGTACGCCGACAACCTCCCTCTCCTGCACAAAGCCGCCGAGATGGTCGGTGAGAAGCAGGCGGAGAGGAGAGTCCTTATGCTTGTCAACCCCACAATGCGTAAGTATCCCCCTCAGAGTCGACCAAAGTGTGGAAAGCTAACATGGCACAGAATCTCCCTACACCACAGACACTATCTATGGCGGTCTTCAAATCGTTAACCCCGGAGAGACGGCGCCTGCTCACCGACACATTGCTTTCGCTCTCAGATTCATCATTGATGGCGAGGGATTCACAGCTGTCGAAGGCAAGAAGATGCCGTTGAAGAGAGGCGACGTCGTCGTGACGCCTGTTTGGCACTGGCATGACCACGGTAACGAGAGCGATGCCCCGGTCATCTGGCTCGACGCTCTCAACCTTCCCCTCTTCAGATTCACCCCCGTTCACTTTGCGGAACAATACCACGAGAGCAGATACCCCAGCGTGTGAGTCTGTTTGTTTCCCATTGACATACTTATAACTAACAAACTTCATAGATTGACGGAGGATTGCGAATGGAGGCATCCTTGGGACAAGGTCGAGGCAGAGCTCAAGGCCCAAGAAGGCCCTCACGCCATTTTCCACTACACGAGTAACGGCAAACCCTTATCGCCGATTCTCGGTGCTCAGGCTGAGCGGATCGACGGTCATCACACGACTAAGGAAGCTCGTGAGCAAGCCTCGTTCATGTATCACTGCTACGAGGGCCAAGGCCAGACCATCGTGGAGCCTCCCTCAGGCCCGCGTGTTATCTTCAAATGGTCGGCGAGGGACACTTTCGCTGTTCCTGCTTGGTCCAAGATTCAACACATCAATGACCTGTCAACGCCAGCATACCTTGTCGCTGTGAGTGACAGGCCGTTGTTGAGCAGTATTGGCCTGATCAAGCCCGAATCTTAAATACTGCGTTAGCCAGGGGTAGTGATGTCAGGGAAAGGGTTGATGGGCAGCAAGTTTTGGAGTCAAATAATCGCATCGATCATGGGATAGTTTGGCGATTGCGATTGCATAGTCTTAAAGACCAAATTCATACGATTGGTCACGTCCCTCCATGGATAGCGCTTAATCATAACAATTCAAGCCTTTTTGAGAATCAAAGCGCCCTGGAGAGTCTCATTGATGGAGGTTTCTGATGCTTGTTGATAGTGTTGCCGTCTACGCATAGTGGGCGCGGGGAAACAATTTCACTCGTGAGTGAACCACCGCAAACCGGAATAAGCTCCGAAGAAAGTGCGGAGAGGGCTTCCTTCTACGGATTTTGACTTCGCGGATACGAGTTCCGTCGTACATTTACTTCCTAACAAAGTAATCCCTGTTTCAGCTGATCTATGCTAGCCAATGCTCCTGGCACTTCAAAGTCTCCAACACGCCATACTTCGGTCGAACACATCAGATTGCGGGCATGAATCGGTGAGCATTGGGTCGTGTAGATTGATCAAAAGCCGCGAAGAAATACCCCAGAGGACCTCGTGAAGTACCATTGCCCCGTTTCCTCGACGGCCAGCTTTCTGTCGTAAATTCCAGTCCAAGTAGGCCATATACAACACATGAGAAGCTCGTTTGTGGAAGGATACTCCGAGAGGGGGCTTTAACCAGCATCCAGTATATGTATTCGTGATCTCTTCAACGTCGACGTCTTCTCGGTAATGCGAAGTATTGACTTCCAACGAAGTCGGCATCCCAACCTTCTCGACATCGACATCTAGACAGCCACGTGCAACAGTTTTAGCAGACCAATCATTTGATCAGGAAACCTCGGAACTTGGGCAAACATTTCAAATTTCTCCGCAGGAACGACCGGGACATACCAGCATCAGGAATTAGTTCGTTTCGAGAGAACTCTGTTCAGCCTCGATACCCTGCGGAGGCATCCGTGCCAGATTTCTTTAAGCCCGTGCAATGACATAGCTTCCAACAGATCCCGTCACAGCATGGACTTGGCCAACAACATCTAATTGGGTACATAAAATTGCTACACGTAGGATGGAAATATCGTTCCAGGTTTTAGGGCGTGCGAAAACACGGCCCAAGTCACCCAGTCCCTTACTATCTCCAATTCTCCATCTCACCGTTTCAATGGCGGGTTACATCCAGCGATCCTTGCTTCCGGTCCTTATCGATGGCGCCGTTCGAGAACGCGACGACTAGATGGCGGACAAGAGCCTCCAGATTATCATTCTGGCCGGTGTTTTCTTGCTGTTAACATGGATCGCGGTCGGTTTGAGGGTCTACTGCCGCATGTTCCTCGTTCGTTCGGTCGGCAAGGACGACAAAGTAATGATGGTGTTGTTGGTAAGTTGAGTCTCAACCAGCTGCTGGATACGAGTGAACACCGACTGACCATTTTTTTCAGCTTCTCTTTACGGTCTACCTGGGTCTGCAAATATACGGAGGCATACTAGGAATAGGCCTTCCCGACAGCGAACTTAGCCCACAGAGGAAACTCCAATCCTTACGAGTCGGTCTCCCTCGGCTTCAAATGCGACTTGGTGCTAACCGCACTTCATATTACAGCTGTGGTGGATTCTCGAACTCTTGAACGTGTGCTCGACATGTCTTCTCAAAATCTCCGTCGGCTACTTCCTGCTTCGAGTTGCGATCGATCGACCACACATCTGGATCATTTGGGTGTTGATGGCCGGCACTGTCATCTTTGGAATAACGTACCTGCTCATGGTCACATTCCAGTGCCGACCAGTCGCCACGTACTGGGAGGAAGGGCCACGAACACCGGACAAGTGCTGGCCCCGGCAGGTCATCTATATCATGACGATTGCGGCAACGGTCATCAACACGAGCGCGGACTTCATCTTCGGGACGTTGCCATGGTTCATCGTCAGGTCAATGAACTTGCCACTGGGGACGAAGATTGTTGTTGTCGCTATTCTTGGGTTTGCTGCGATGTAAGCGACGGCAGAATTTCTCTCTGAGTTCTGTCAGGTTTCGGGCTAACGATAATATGACCCCAGTGGAAGCACGGCCACGATCGTACGAGCTTTCTATATCCCAACTTTGCTGGAGGAAAGGAACTTCTTGTGTAAGAACGACGTCCGGTCTGGCGATGGAGGTTGAACTCAACCAAGTACTGACCATACACTCCCGACCAGATGAGACCACGAACTTCGCGATATGGAGCACTGTAGAGCCTGGAGTAGGCACAATCGCGGCTTCAGTCGCCACTCTCAGGCCTCTCTACCACCTCGTCGTCTCCAGAATAAGCCGAACGAACTCAAGCGGCCAGCGAAGGGACCAATGGCGCCAGCGTCAGCAAGCAGGACGGCACGAGACAAGTCGAGACGTTCGAGCGCACCACCTCGATGTAGAAGACCCCCCCGAAGATTCGGACCTCACACATCCCCATGGGATCTTGGAAGTAAACCCACCGGCTTTGGATCCCGTCAGCAAGAACACCGAATCGACGACAAAGTCCAGGTCGACGGACTGCGATACTACACAGCGCACTTTAACATTGATGAAACTGCCCTCCGCTCTTCGGTTGAGCGAAGACTTTCGACGTACCATGGATCGGCCTTCTGAAGAATGGATGGCTAGGATTAGGGTACGTTAGCTCGGTATAATCTGCGAAGATGAGCATGTTTAAACTGACTAGCTTTCACAGGCAGAGGAAGAAGCTGGCGGATCTGCGGAGGATGATATACGACCTTCAAGTCAAGACTACTAGCCTGGGAGTCTATGGACCCCGTTGGCAACTTTCACGAGACCAGTCAGTCATCCAGTACGGTGGCATTGCCGTTATCAACTGCAATGACAAAGAAACACGATACCCTATAGAGTAACAATGAGATATCTTTTCACTTCCACGATATTCAGTCTTCAGATTATCTCATTTTCATTCGATACTAAGTTTATCACGATATTCGCGAATTGAGAGCATGTTTCTTTTAATTCGGACCGGAGTGTCATCTCATGGCTGGAATGTCCTCTGATCGAGGTTTGAAGGGAGAGGATGATCTTATACGAACATAGAACGTACAGTCTCCGTCGTGTATGCGTCGTGGAATATTGCCAAGCGAGTGGCTGAAGTTGTCCACCAACCAACTCCTCGACGACGAGAGCCCCTGGTAGATCTTTTTCAGCTGAAGGTCTTGGCACAAAGACGAGAAAACGATCATATTCCCCGATGCCACCGTCGTCCAAGCATGGCTCGTTATTCCCTCCGAAGTTCGTCTGTTTGCCCAGGACATCTCATCATGAAGTCGCATTTATTTCAATTCCTCGCACTCATCTCACCGGCCCTCGGCATCACGGTCACGCCCGGTGGAACTGACTATGCAGCCATCAAGAATGCAATCACCGCATTCGCTCTGAAGGACAGCCGACTCGTTTCCAGCAACTCCTCGCTAGTAGCACCCACAAAGCGCAGGGCCGCCGATCCAGTATCCGTCTGGTCGACCGTGGGGACCTTCATCGACGGCCCCGCGGGCCTTGCGACGGGCGTGATTCTCACGACGGGACAAGCGGCCTCAGCCGCTCCCGGTGTCGCTGCCGATGGAAGTTGGGGCTATGGCCAGGACAGAATGACACTGTGTCCAGTGGCGCCCTCGAAAGAATACTCCATGTTCCGCCTGAAGATATCCGCGCCGCCCGGCGTCAACGGACTTCGAGTCAACTATCTCTTCGCAGAGGAGTGAGTCGGCCATGATACCTAGCCGATCTATCTTTCTAACACCAGAAAAAGCGGTCGAATGTTCCAGCTCGATGCCGCGCAAGTGCTTCTTTCCGGCACGACACCGGTACCTGAGAGCGTGGTCATCGCGAAACGAGATCCCCGGATGAAGCCTGGTGTACCAGGGGCTAACTTGGGTCTGTCATACGAGATCACGACGGGTGTGTTCAGCTTTCATATTCCGTTGGAGTCAGGAGCGCAAGACTTGACCTTCATGGTATGCGACAGGGGCGACAGTGCCGGAGACTCTGCGGTGTTGTTAAATATCGAGGGGGTGTCTTCATGGTGACTTGGATATCTCGTCATTTGGCTACAGCAAGCCCTAAGATGATCCATAAGCATGCCATAAGCAATTCTTCCTCGTCAGTGTAATCTCTTGACTCATGATACGACGGATTGAATCTGGAGATCTTGCCGCTATGCATACACCCACGTCCTTCTTGGCGTGCGTCTTATTGCTCGAGCCGTCTTGAAGGAATAGTGATATCGAGCCAGTCAGCCCGCCAAGAGATCTAAGGATTAACGGAAGATACCACAAGATGAACATCACGGTACAAGAGGACAGGATGCTGTTCCTTGTCACTCATCTCCTCAAATCCTTTGGTTCTTTGCGTAAGAGGCAGTAAGCATACTTTTCGTCGAGTTCACGACTGAGCGGCGGTCAATCCGGACGGCGATAAGGGGAGAGCACATGGATTTCTCATGTCTTGGTCATGTCGAGTACATGATGCCGGCCATGATATTCTTTATCGATTCCAGAGATGAGGTGAGATCATAGTGGGTGTACGCGCAGAAGATGTCCAGATAGCGAGCGATGGAGGACTGCGCACGCAACGAGACGAGGATTACGGTCCGGCCGTCGGATACTCACCCTTCTTCACCACCAGAAAGTGACTACCGTTGACCTTTCGAAACGTGAACTTCCCCTTCCGCCTCTGCTCCTCAGTAGCCAACACGCACTTGACCCTCAACATCTCCATCTTGGGAAAAGGCACCACCCCATCCCCGGCCATCTCCTCCAACTCATCCAGGAAATCAAGCTGATCAATCCTATACAGCTCCTCCCTACCACAATCCCACACCCCCTCAAACCTCCCATCATCCGCATCCCAAAGCAAGACCTCGAGCACCCTCAGCTCCGCAAACCACCCCAAAATCCCAAACACCAACCCCCACCTCCCCTTCTTCTCCTGCCCGAACACCCCAAAGAGCCCATCGACAGAAACCTCCCTCACCCGCGCCCTCAGACCCTCCGGCATCACCCACTCCCTCCCCCTCCTCCCAGTCCTCGTCGTCCCGCTCGCGATAACGGGCCCCGCGTCCCTCACATCCCCCAAGAACCTGTGTCCCGCCCACAGCGTGCCCCCGTCCCAGATCACGCTCACCACGTCCCGTGCGGGGCTGAAGGGGAACCCGAGCGGGTCCGGCGCGCCGAAGGCACCGCACGCGAGGGCCCGCGTCTCCCGGCTGACCGCGTAGAGTGGTACGTCCCGCCACGAGCGGATCGCGTCCGACGAGAAGCGCACCTGCGGGCCGTGGTTCCATTCTCTGTCTACCCTGACCCAGCCCTCGATCATGAGCGGGTCGACGCTGAGGAGGAGGATCTTGTCCCGTAGTTCCTTGGGCAGCTGCGGAAAGACCGGGAACGAGGCATCGCCACGGCTCCCATCGCCGGCTTCATAGGTAGCTTTGTTGACACGAGGGGAAATCGAGTCGTAGTAGTCCACCTCCGCGCATCGTCCCGGAGTGTGGGGGACGCAATGCAAGTGCTTCCGGGCTCGTAGGATGACACTGCGCCAATCGCCCCGGCTGCGCTCGTCGATGGTTATCTCGAGGTCACCCCTAGGCTCAAGCGCGCCCGCGCCCGCGCCCGCGTCTTCCTCTGAAGTCGAAGGGCGCGCAGCAGAACTCGCGAGTCGTTCGTGGTCGGACGATGCCATTTCGAGGTAAGTTGGTGGCGGTGGCTTTGTTTCGTACGATGGAAGTTTTGGCGCTGATGAGACTTTTTTCGCTGGTGTGGCTTTGAGAGGCGTTTGTTCGTTGTCCGCCTTCGCATCATGATGTTCCCTCGTTCGAGTCGCAAGCTCGACGGAAGAAACCGATTCATATTCCTCCTACCTTCAGGAGCGCCGTTAGGTAGCCATCGTTATTGATCTGCCTCCCGATGGAGAGATGTTGCGGGTCGAAGGATGCGCCAAGGAACCCTTTTCGCGTCTGCCTGCTCGCTATCATCCATGATCCCCATCCATCGTGAAATTCATACCGACAAACCTCTTGCGACAGAATTCAACTGCCGTGTGGTTAGATCCCTCAGCCCTTTACCTCGCTTAATTCTCCCGTCATCCGCGCAGCGCTCCAGATCCGTCCAAGTTATGAGCAGAAAAAAAGCCCCGGCGACGAGCATTACCAATGCAGAGCAACGTGGGCGGCCGTCCATCCATCCCCCGCCCACGGCCGGACACCCAGTCGGCGCCTTTTTCTAGCCTCCCCCCATCGCGCGGAATGTCACGCAGTACGCAGCATCATAGCACCGTCATAGCCTTGGGGCCGGCCACCATCTGCCCTACATGCATGGTAAACCACATGGGCGGGACGGGTCAGTGAGGTTGGGGGAGGGAAGAGACGCTGGCCAGATCGGTCCATCATGTACGTGAGAAAATAAGAATGCGGGAAAGAGACACGACTTGGACCCTGCGAGTGAGATGTGCTCGCATTCCAGCCACGGAGATCACGAGCATCGTGAGAAACGTGCCGAGGGGCAGAAGTCCAGTTTCTCGGTGGTTGCAGGTTGGAGTGTTCCGCGCGGGACGCTCGCGGGCCGATTGCAGTGACATTCAGAACGAAGTCGTTTCAACTCGGTACAGCTCACATCCCAGTCCTCGATGCCAGGGAATCGGGGGCAGCCCGGCGCAACGTTGTTTCTCCAAAGTCACACGTGTGTGGGGGGTGATCGTCGAATGAATCCAGGGACCTTCCCCCATCCCTCGTGCATCAGGATCTCAAAATATCCAAACATTCGTCTGGGGTATATTGGTTCCATCGACTCTCAACGGATGGAGAAAAAGGAAAAGAACCATCCAATCGTGAGGCCGTCCAATCGAGAGGGTGCCGACCCTGGGGTAACGTGGTCAGAGTGATACAGGTACCGAGAACGCAAAATTCCAGGCCACACCTATGTCGGGCTGGACTGGGTGAGATTTGAGGCTGAACGCATGGGCTGGTCTAGCTCTCCTCAACTGGCTCATGGTGAGATGCCACTCGGACGATTTTGACTGTGGCCTAATCACTTCTGCGGAGGAGGGTCCGCAAAGGGCGTGGAGGAACTGGAGGGCACGGTGGGAGGGGAATGTAAGATTGGCTTGATAAGATATGTGATATAATTTCTATTCTAATTTCCTTTTTGGCTGTTTCGCCATTGAAATATGTACTAAGAACTAAAAAAAAGGGCGGGTTTTTCTTTCCGCTGGGTATTTCATCCAATCCTATGCCTATGCTAAGTCTCCCCAGTGTAACCGTTCTGATGTCTCCGAGATTTTGATGCCGCCGTACCATGAGTATCCGTAAAGTCATAAAAGAAAAATCCAGAAACCGTTAGATCCCTCAGGCGTTGGCCGCCACGATGCCCGACCTCAACCCAGTCGTCGAGGCCTTCTCCCTCAGCGTGGGCGCGGCGGGCGCCGGCCTCTTCAGTCTCAGCTCGAGGAAGTGCCCGACCACGCTCCTGATCTGCTCCTCGAACCCCTGCAGCTTGAACCCGAAGACCTCCTCCGTGGCGGACGAGTCAAAGTCGATCGCTGTCGTGCCGACGGATCCGCTGCTGCTGATCATCTTCCTCTCGACCGCCTCGGGGAAGCTCCTCTTCGCAATGAGCTTGGCGTCGTTCCACCGCGCCTTGGTGCTGAGGATGTAGCTCCTGTTGCCGGGGACAGTGGGGAGGAGGGCCTGGACGTGTGCGCGCGCGACGTCGTCGACGTGGACGGTCGCGCCGGCGAAGGCGCATCCCCACTTCTTGCCGAGGAGGGTGGCGAGGACGACTGCGTTGGTGCCCTTCATCGCCTCGCCGATGTTCGTCGCGACGTCGTTGTGGCCGAGGACGAAGGAGGGGTGGAAGTGGACCACGTCGAAGCTGGGCTTCTCGCGTGCCAACCACGCCTCGGCGCTGAGGAGTGCGGCGACCTTGCTGGCGGCGTAGGCCGCGAACTCGCTCTCGTACGGCTCGGGCTTGAAGCCGGCTCTCTCGGTGGGGAGGACCGCCTTCTCGCGGCGCTCCTTGCCCTCCATCTGCGCTACCGAGAGAAGGGCGACGACGGAGCTGGTGATGACAACGCGGCGGACGGTGCCCGCGCGTCTCGCGGCCTCGAGCATACCCAGAGTGCCGCGCATGGCGGGCTGGATGAAGTACTCCTGGTGCTGCTCTGGCGGTACCGAGTCTGCCGTCGCGAGCGGAGATGCGGAGTGGATGACGTGGGAGACGCCGCGGATCGCCTCGTCGTATGCGCCGTCTGCGGTGATGTCGGGGACTATTGTGAAGTTGAGGCGGGCGCGAGGAAGGTTGAGAGCGAGGATCTGCGGGCGAGAGCGGATGAAGGCGGCCTTTGCCTCTGAGCGAACTGCGCAGCGGACGGTGTGGCCTGCGCGAAGAGCGTGGAGAAGAACGCAGAAGCCAATGTGGCCTGTTGCGCCTGTGATGAGCAGAAGCTCGTCTGGGAGTTGGCACAGCATGTTTGCTGTTGATATGTGTTGATGTGTGTAAGTGGTGGATGAAATTGTTTCAAGTAGCTGACGGGAACTGGTGGAGGATGTCCGTCAGGAACGAGTACGACTATGTTAGATGTAGTCGAAAGTCCTGAAATAGGTTGCTTGATCAATGGTAATGACTTCTCTAGGAAACCGGTGCGAACAACGAGGATGAGGGAGGGAGGGTCATATATCTATATTCGGAGAGAGGCGTTCCCACTACTTGCCTCCATGCCTTCTGGGTTTGCCAAGGCTTCCCCTTCCTCTGAGCCACCTCAGATAGATGAACGCCACGTGAAGGGGGGGTGTGACCAACGAAGACCCCAGTTCATCCCAGGAAACCAATTCAGGGTCAATAGTCGGGTACCAGACCACAGCAGTATCTCCGTGCCTGCAACAAGCGAGCGACGCCGAACCAACGAGTAGTGGCTTCTCCGTGCTTGCGCGGAGCTAGCGTCATCCAGCTTATCAATGACTCTGTGGGTTAGTCTAGATCCAAGTCAAGTGCTGCGTGGTATGAAGTGGCTCGGTTGCTAGCCACTCCTCACCATCACTCACCCACTTGCCAGCAAAGAAGGTTCCTGCACATCACATGTAGTAGGGCTGGCGTGTCTCGAGGCTAACAGGTCACGCAGCTTCACGCACTACGCAGTACGCAGCACGTTAACTGCTCGGCTAGCCTCACGAGAGCCCATACCCGAGTGGTCGAACCGGGTGTGTCGTGGCACTCGTTGAGCCGCACTGACGGTCGCGTCCAGCATCATCCCTCCTCAGTCAGCACCAAGTCTGCGGGGTGAACTCGGCCAAGAAGCTCCAGCAGATTTGCATTGGACACGGTCACTTGATGAAGAAGAAAAAGGGGGGCGAAAGAGGAGAGCATAGCCTATGCCAAGCATGGATGTCCCAGGAGGCTGTGAAGAGAAGCAAGACTCACAAAACACACCCTCACCCTCAGTTTGATGAGTTCATGCAAACTTGTTAATGGCCTCGACACTTAATCGTTCAGCATTCACTTTTCAAGTGAGGGTGGCTGCACGCTCCAGAGCTGGAGCTATTCGCCAGTCTAGTCTGGTATCGGGGTAGTTCGACCAAGGGAAGCGAGAGACCGTGGCCAGGCGCCAGCTCTCAAGCCAAGCTGAACAACTTAGCTTCAAAGTGGCGCATCCAGATTGGGCTGTCGGGTATCCAAGTGTTGACCACTTCAGTGTGACTTGCTGCGGCGGACAGGAGACGACGGGTGGCGGACCGTTTGATTGGCGATAACGGACAGAAGCTGAGCATTGCTCGTCGTCTTTTCTTCTGGCCCCTTCTTCCGCCGTTCGAGTAGCAAAGTTGAGATGGTGGTCGAGGCAACGCGGCATTGTTCAAGTGAGGAGAAAGTCAATTTTTTCCCTCACTCTTTTGTCTCTCGGGACCGTCGATAGTTTCCCATAGCCGAATGCTGGCGGCAATGCTGGCGGCCAGAAATGACCACTCGTTGACGCCATTCATTTTCTGGCTCGTCGTAGTCTGGCAACTCTCGCCAACGTCAACCCCTCTTCCTGCAGCCTTCAGTCCTCGTCAACGTCGGGAGATCGGCGGTCTGCTACCCTCCAAGTCTCGCTACCGACTGTCTGGGCCGCCAGAAAACGCCCCCTTTTCCTACCGGTGCAATTTACCCCCTCTTCATCGATCCTTCAGCGTCGCACTGGAGTGGGGGATTGGAAGGAGTGAGGAATCGAGAGCAAGCGGCAAGCCAGTCAGCGAAGGCCTGGACCGTTGGAGGGCGGAATTGTTGGCTGCCTTGCGACACACGAGCTCCAGGATCGTTGGGTGAGACAGCAGCGCGCCGCTTCGTCTCATCATGAACGCCTCTGAAGCATGTGAGTGTGCGAGCACAATTTGCACAACATCTCCAAGGAAACCGAGTCTGTACTTGCATGGTCGTAAGCTGAGCACTGCGGGCTGGAAGATGCACAAGAAGTGCAGCAGAGGCCAAGGCGCGGCACGGGCCCCTGCTTGATGTGCACTTGGTCTCACGCTTCCCCGACTGGTCCATCTGTGCTCGTACATAAGCCTCCGTCTCAACTTGTTTGAGTTGTATTAAGGCTCGGAGTCAGACAGCGAGGGGAAGCGACTGGAAACCCTTCACTTGAGGGACTAACGGCAACCGAACATCGTCGAGTGCGACCAGACCGTGACACGGAAAATGACAGTGTAAGTAGCCGGGCTATCATCCACCCATTATTTGAGTATGTCTATTCGTTCGTCTTCTGGTGCGGGATGAGTCCGGGGCGCGAGAGCTTCCGAGCGTGACGATTCATGCGTGCTTTCGGTCCGCAGAAACAGACGATGCAGTTCCGCCGAATTATTGGATGAGGATGAAGATCATCACCGCAACAAACCGGTTTGGGATCATGCAGATCAGACTGCAAGGTAATGCCAGCCCCGACGTGCTTCCCTATTCTCCATATCTTGCGATGCATGCAGCTGCGACCCGAGCGGCGTCTAATGCAATCGCAGGGGATGAGGACCTCGAAGGAGTGCCGGAGCATTGGCGAGCCAAGGGTCTTTCTCCAAGAAAGCGACATCCGGGAGGTTCTCTCTGCTCGTCGTCGGGCTCGACGCATTTCTTTTCTTCTCCAAATCGAAAATGTCGCTGACCTTGATTCACCTCAGTTTGAACCAGTCCCTGATCGACAGAACCAGCCATGGCCGCGCGTTAGAAGCTCGCGAATCATGGATGTGGCAAGGTGATTGACATCAGGTCCTAGACCAGAAATCGCGCTGGCTTCCCGATCGGCGTGTCGAAGTTGCGCCGGACCTTCACCGCCAAGAGGGGTCCCGGCCCGCCGAGAAAGACTCTCCACTGTCTTTAACCGGCCGATTGTGGGTCCCCGTGTTACCCGGAGCTGCAGCCGGGATCTCACCCGTTTAGCCCGGGGGCAAAAAAGCCGTGCGACAGCGGAACAATCCGTGATGCGTCGTCTGAAAACTTCGACTGTTGGGAGAGAGGCTTAGCTGTCGAAAAGAACTTTGAACCCGTCGGGACCGAAGGTTCACGGAAGCAGCTTGACATCATCAACGTGGCGGAGCAAGAGACTGTCATTTGCCCCTCGAGTCGAACATGACCAGTTGACGTTTGGGGGAAAAAAACAGACGGATATTTTTGGTCTGCCATCGTGACGCGTCAAACTCGAGTTGTCGCGTCTGCTTAGGGGCTCAGCGGTATATTCCGTGCAGTCGTCATTCGAAGCAATCCGTCTGTTGTGTGAAGAGGCCGGTAGCTGGGTATGCGTGTATTCTGCGAGCATCCGCGCTCCTGATGCCAGCAAAGCTCGCGAAATCGCAGCGCCAAGGTAGGTCTCGTCCCGGTGACCGGTATCTCTCGCCTTGATCGGCATTGTTTTTCTTCTGTCGACAAAATGGTAATTTCTCGCCGTTGGCGCATGTTTTGGCGGCTTGAGTAAGAGTTCGAAACCGCCAGCCAGCAAATCTTCCGACGATCTTGCATCTGTGCTCCTGCCGATCGATTAGGTCGGTCTCCACTGCGTCGCGTTTTCTGGAAGAGAGTTTGATCACGCTGCCGGGTTAAGGCGGCACTTTGACAGGCGCCACCGGGGCCTTCTCTTCGGACAACAAGATGGTCGTTCGGTCCCGACCCGTGAGTCGACATCAATGTCGTTGACGACACATTGCTTCCGGCGATCTGCGGCCTCCGGGCGCCGACGTCTCCACCAGAATCTTCCACCGTGTTGACGTTTCAAAGGCGTCCCGAGGTGCACGTCGAAGGCCGTCTGTCGCCGTATTCTTTGCACAGCCACAGCCGGGAGAACGGCCGGTGACGAGGTCTCGAGTTGTAACATAACATCAGTTGACGTCTCCGAACGCCGCCCTCAGCCTCAATGAGATGAAAACCTTGACAGCCGCGTGCCTGAGATCTGGCTTGGGAAGCAGGCTTCCATCTTTCTATTAGCGTCTAGATCGCTCGACTCATCAAGCGCGTGATCCGGATCTTGTGATCGAATGTCCATCTTCGTAGCTTCGTAGGAGTGGAAGTTCCGTCTAGTTGGAAGGCGGGACGCTGACGAGCATCAGCCCAGTCGGGAGTAGCCTGACTATATCGCCGTAAAAGAAAAATCGGATCGCGGCTTCGACTGTTCGGGACTGACGATGCTGCTCATTTGGGCCGAGGCCGAAGAACCGGGACTCGGGAGCCGATTCGCCCGGCAGCACGTGGCGATGAAGGCTTGGTCTGGCAGGATACGACGGCAAATGTGTGATCTGAATTGCGATTTCTGAGGAGCCGCGAAAATCCAATTGCCTTGAATGATTTGAGATGGTTTTCTGACGATTACTGCATAATGACGACAGTTGGTGGAGACTGAAGAATTCGCATCATGGCACGCACACTGTGTTTTCTGTCCTCGGCTGCTGGGAGCGTTTACGTAATCCTGCGGAATATCGGAATATCTAATCTCGATAAGAGACTGATAGCACTGTCTGACTAACAGTGCAAAATATGGGTCGTGGAAGTACGTACCTAAGGCACCTCCAGCCCTGCAGCTGTGAGCTGTGAGCTGTAGCCCCCGGCCATCCAAAGTCAAGAGTCCAGCCCTTGGTTGACTTGATTCCCTTCAATCTCGATCGCACACTTCATTCATCAGTCATCACCACTCCATCGACCAAAATGCTACGAAGCTAGGCTCTAAAAGATCTCTTGTGCCCCTCATCACCATCACAGACTCGCCCAATGATGTGAAGCTGGGTAGCACAGCCTTTTGCGACCCCGCGGTCTCGCCACATCCGCAAACTTTCCCTCCATCCAGACTCTGCGGATACTCTACCGTCATTACCTTAGCGATTTCTCTCCCCAGCCATCGACGTTTTGGAAATCCCCTCCCTCCGCCCAGCCAGCTATTCGCGACAGGCGACAGGCGACAGGGTACAACCCGCCTCCCCGGAGGCATCAAGGCCTAGAACCTGAATCTGGCAACAGGGTTAGC